ATGATCTTGCCAAAGCACAATGTTACATTAGAAAAAGTGTACACTCTTGTAAAAAAGGTTTCCAAAAGGGTTCTTCGGCTGTCCCCATAGGATAACCCTTATTGGTTCCAGGGAGAATCCTTTTTGGAAAGGGTCCTACATGGAACCCAAGAGGGTTCTACCTGGAACGAAAAGGGTTCTATCTGGAACCAAAAAGGGTTATTCAAAGGGTTTGCCTATGGGGACAGCTGAAGAACCCTTTTAGGTTCTAGATAGCATCTTTTTTTCTAATAGTGTAATGAACAATTATTAACAATGATGGAAATCACCTAAATGATCTCACTGTACTGAAGTGTGTGTGTGTCTGTGTCTCTGTGTGTGTCTGTGTCTCTGTGTGTGTCTGTGTGTGTGTGTGTGTGTCTCTGTGTGTGTCTGTGTGTATGTGTCTCTGTGTGTGTGTGTGTGTGTGTGTGTGTGCGTCCCTGTGTGTGTGTGTGTTAAATGCTCTGTGTCTGTCTGTGTGTGTCTGTGTATCTGTCTGTGTGTGTGTCTGTGTGTCTGTGTGTGTATGTGTGTGTGTATGTGTTAAATGCTCTCTGTCTGTCTTTAAGGGACTTTCTGCCCCGAGGGTCTGGTATCGTCACCCGTAGACCTCTCGTCCTTCAACTGGTCAACAACCAAGCAGGTGGATACACACTCACACACACACACTCACACACACACACCACACATCCAACAACCACCACACACACACCACACACCACCACACCAACATCAACACACAACACACCACTCAACACACACACACCACACACACACATCAACAACACACACCACCACCACACACCACACCACACACACACACTCCACACACACACACACACCATACAACAACACATCACAACAACACTCACAACACTCACACACAACCACACACCACACAACTCCACCATCACACACACACACACCACACACACACCACCAACCACCACACACACACACCACACACACACACACAACACCACAACACACACACACACACAACACCACACCACACACAAACCACTACCACACACACACACACACACTCACACACACACCACACCACACCACACACACCACACACCACACAAACACAACACCACACACCACACAACACAACACCACACACACCACACACACACACACCACACACACACCCACCACCACACCCCACACCACACACACCCCACACACTCCCACACCACACCCACCCCCACACACACCACACCACCACACACACACCCTCACACACCCTCACATACACCACACCACCACACCACAACACACACACCCACACACACACTCACACACACCCCCAAACATACCACACCACACACACTCACACACACACACACACACACACACACTAGAATGGGCACTGTCTAAAAATCACCTTAGAACTCTAGAATGGGCACTGTCTAAAAATCACTCATCTTGACCAAAATAGCTGCCATTATTGGCAAATTCTGGAATAATGTGTCTATGATATACAGTGCCTTCAGAAAGGCACTGTATTCACACCCCTTGACTTATTCCACATTTTGTTGTTACAGCCTGAATTCAAAATGTATTACATTAATTTTTTTCTCACGCATCTACACACATAATGAAAAAGTGAAAACATGTTTTTAGAAATGTTTGCAAATGCATTTAAAATATCTCATTTACATAAGTATTCATACCCGAGTCAATACATGTTAGAATCACATTTGGCAGCGATTACAGATGTGAGTCTTTCTGGGTCTCTAAGAGCTTTCTCTAAGTCTCTAAGAGCTTTCTCTGAGTCTCTAAGAGCTTTCTCTGAGTCTAAGAGCTTTCTCTTAGTCTCTAAGAGCTTTCTCTGAGTCTCTAAGAGCTTTCTCTGAGTATCTAAGAGCTTTGCACACCTTGATTGTACAATATTTGCTTGTTATTCTTTTTAAAGTTCTTCAAGCTCTGTCAAGTTGGTTGTTGATCATTGCTAAACAGCCATTTTCAAGTCTTCCCATAGATTTTCAAGCCGATTTAAGCAAAAACTTTAACTAGGCCACTTTCAGGAACATTTCACGTTGTCTTGGTAAGCAACTCCAATGTATACTTGGTCTTGTGTTTTAGGTTATTGTCCTGCTGAAAGGTGAATTTGTCTACCAGTGTCTGTTGGAAAGCAGATTGAACCAGGTTTTCCTCTCGGATTTTGCCTGTGCTTGGCTCTATTCCGTTTATTTTTATCCTACAAAACTCCCTAGTCCTTGCTGATGACAAGCATACCCATAACATAATGCAGCCACCACCATGCTTGAAAATATGATGAGTGGTACTCAGTGATGTGTTTGTTGTGCAGTGGTGAAAAAAGTACCCAATTGTCATACTTGAGTAAAAGTAAAGATACCTTAATAGAAAATGATTCAAGTAAAGTGAAAGTAACCCAGTAAAATACTACTTGAGTAAAAGTCTAAAAGTATTTGGTTTTAAATCTACTTAAGTATCAAAAGTAAATGTAATTGCAAAATATACTTAAGTATCAAAAGTAAAAGTACAAGTATAAATCATTTCAAATTCCTTATATTAAGCAAACCAGACGGCACAATTTTCTTGTTTTTATTTATTTACAGATAGCCAGGGGCACACTCCAATACTCAGATATAATTTACAAGTGAAGCATGTGTGTTTAGAGAATCTGCCAGATCAGAGGCAGTTGGGATGACCAGGGATGTTCTCTTGATAAGTGTGTGAATTGGACCATTTTCCTGTCCTACTAAGCATTCAAAATGTAATGAGTACTTTTGGGTGTCAGGGAAAATGTATGGAGTAAAAAGTACATTATTTTCTTCAGGAATGTAGTGAAGTAAAAGTAGAAGTAGTCAGAAATATAAATAGTAAAGTAAAGTACAGATACCCAGAGTGGCGCAGTGGTCTAAGGCACTGCATCTCAGCGGTCTAAGGCACTGCATCTCAGCGGTCTAAGGCACTGCATCTCAGCGGTCTAAGGCACTGCATCTCAGTGGTCTAAGGCACTGCATCTCATTGGTCTAAGGCACTGCATCTCAGTGGTCTAAGGCACTGCATCTCAGCGGTCTAAGGCACTGCATCTCAGTGGTTTAAGGCACTGCATCTCAGTGGTCTAAGGCACTGCATCTCATTGGTCTAAGGCACTGCATCTCATTGGTCTAAGGCACTGCATCTCAGTGGTCTAAGGCACTGCATCTCAGTGGTCTAAGGCACTGCATCTCAGCGGTCTAAGGCACTGCATCTCAGTGGTCTAAGGCACTGCATCTCAGTGGTCTAAGGCACTGCATCTCAGCGGTCTAAGGCACTGCATCTCAGTGGTCTAAGGCACTGCATCTCAGCGGTCTAAGGCACTGCATCTCAGCGGTCTAAGGCACTGCATCTCAGCGGTCTAAGGCACTGCATCTCATTGGTCTAAGGCACTGCATCTCAGTGGTCTAGGCACTGCATCTCAGTGGTCTAAGGCACTGCATCTCAGCGGTCTAAGGCACTGCATCTCAGCGGTCTAAGGCACTGCATCTCAGTGGTCTAAGGCACTGCATCTCAGCGGTCTAAGGCACTGCATCTCAGCGGTCTAAGGCACTGCATCTCAGTGCTTGAGGCGTCACTACAGACCCCCTGGTTCGATTCCAGGCTGTATCACAACCGGCCGTGATTGGGAGTCCCATAGGGCGGCACACAATTGGCCCAGCGTCGTCCGGGTTTGGCCGGTGTAGGCCGTCATTGTAAATAAGAATTTGTTCTTAACTGACTTGCCTAGTTAAATAAAGGTAAAATAAATAAAATAAAATAAATACCCAAAAAATACTACTTAAGTAGTACTTTCAAGTATTTTTACTTAAGTACTTTACACCACTGCTGTTGTGTTAGATTTGCCCCAAACATAATGCTTTGTATTCAGGACATAAAGTTAATTTCATTGACACATCTTTTTGCAGTTTTACTTTAGTGCCTTATTGCAAACAGGATGCATGTTTTGGAATATTTGTATTATGTGCAGGCTTCTTTCTTTTCACTCTGTCATTTAGGTTAGTATTGTGGAGTAACTACAATGTTGTTGATCCATCCTCAGTTTTCTATCACAGCCATTAAAATCTGTAACTGTTTTAAAGTCACCATTGTCCTCATGGTGAAATCCCTAGGCGGTCTCCTTCCTCTCCAGCAACTCAGTTAGGAAGGACGCCTGTATCTTTGTAGTGACTGGATGTATCTTTGTAGTGACTGGATGTATTGATACACCATCCAAAGTGTAGTTAATAACTTCACCATGTTCAAATGGATATTCAATGTCTGTTTTTTTTTTTGTTTTTTTTTACCCATCTACCAATATGTGCCTTTCTTTGAGAACCATTGGAAAACCTCCCTGGTCTTTATGGTTGAATCTGTGGTTGAATTTGAGTTTGAAATTCACCGCTAGACTGAGGGACCTTACAGATAATTGTAGGTGTGGGGTACAGAGATGAGGTAGTCATTCAACAATCATGTTAAACACTATTATTGCACACAGAGAGTCCATGCAACTTACTATGTGACTTGTTACTCCATAACTTATTTAGACTTGCCATAACAAAGGGGTTGATTACTTATTGACTCAAGACATTTCAGCTTTTAATTTTTGATTAATTTGGACAAAATTCTAAAAACATAACTCCACTTTGAGATTATGGGGTATTGCATGTAGGCCAGTAACACTTTCTAAATGTAATCCATTTTAAATTCAGGCTGTAACACAATCTAAATGTAATCCATTTTAAATTCAGGCTGTAACACAACAACATGTGGAAAAAAGTCCAGTTGTGTGAATACTGTCTGAAGGCTCACAAACAAGTAATGACATCATGCTTAATTTCTGTGGTGAGTTACATATGTTTTCTCTCTCCATCTAACCTCTTCTCTCTCTCTCTCTCTCTCTCTCTCACCCCCTCCCTCCCTCCCTCCCTCCCTCCCTCCCTCCCTCCCTCCCTTCCTCCCTCCCTCCTTCCTTAATAACAGAGTATGCAGAGTTCCTTCATTGTAAAGGTCGTAAGTTTGTGGACTTTGATGAGGTGCGTTTGGAGATTGAGGCTGAGACTGATCGCATCACTGGGTCCAATAAGGGAATCTCTGCTGTTCCCATAAACCTCAGAGTCTACTCCCCTAATGGTACGTACACACACACAACACACACACACAACACACACACACACACACACACACACACACACACACACACACACACACACACACAACACACACGCAGAGAGAGACTCAGAAACATATGTTCATACAAACACACAATCCTGAATGCAGTTATACACACATACATACTCTACCTCTCCCTCTGTAGATAGATGTACAATGAGCAAATACATTTTCCATTTGAATTAATCATTCAATCTCTCCCTCTCTCTCTCTGTCCCTCCCTCTCACCCTCCCTTTTCGAACCCCCCTCTCTCTCTCTCTCTCTCCCTCTCTCTCTCCTCTCTCTCTCCTCCTCTGTCTCTCTCACTCTTCACCCTCTCTCTCTCCTATCTCTCCTCCTCTTCTCGACTCTATTCCCCACCTCACTCCCTCCCCTCCCCTCCCTCTTAAACCCACTGCCCTACCCCTTTCAGATCTACAGCATCTCCACAGCTTTACGCCGGTACACTCAATCCCGCACCATCCCACTGCACCCCCCCCCCCATTCGACCCTATTCTCACGACATCACTCGTACCCCTGCACGTTCCCACAGAGACTGCATTCCAGAACTATGGTCCCCAAACAGCACCTATTCCCAACTGGCACCCTATTCCCACTGACACCCTATTCCACTCCTCCAACTGGCACCCCTATTCGCCCTCACTGGCACCCTATTCCCCCAAACAGCACCCTATTTCCAACTGGCACTCTATTCCCAAACAGCACTCTATTCCCAAACAGCACTCTATTCCCTACTGGCACCCTATTCCCAAACAGCACCCTATTCCCAACTGGCACCCTATTCCCAACTGACACCCTATTCCCAACTGGCACCCTATTCCCAACTGGCACCCTATTCCCAAACAGCACCCTATTCCCAACTGACACCCTATTCCCAACTGGCACCCTATTCCCAACTGGCACCCTATTCCCAACTGGCACCCTATTCCCAACTGGCACCCTATTCCCTACTGGCACCCTATTCCCAAACAGCACCCTATTCCCAACTGGCACCCTATTCCCTACTGGCACCCTATTCCCAAACAGCACCCTATTCCCAAACAGCACCCTATTCCCAACTGACACCCTATTCCCAACTGGCACCCTATTCCCACTGGACCCTTTCCCAAACAGCACCCTATTCCCAACTGCACCCTATTCCCACTGGCACCCTATCCAACGCACCTTTCCCAACTGGCACCCTATTCCCTACTGGCAACCCTATTCCCAACAGCAACCCTATTCCCAACGCACCCTATTCCCAACTGCACACCTATTCCCAACTGGCACCCTATTCCCAGCTGGCACCCTATTCCCAAACAGCACCCTATTCCCAACTGACACCCTATTCCCAACTGGCACCCTATTCCCAACTGGCACCCTATTCCCTACTGGCACCCTATTCCCAACTGGCACCCTATTCCCTACTGGCACCCTATTCCCAAACAGCACCCTATTCCCAAACAGCACCCTATTCCCAAACAGCACCCTATTCCCAACTGACACCCTATTCCCAACTGGCACCCTATTCCCAGCTGGCACCCTATTTCCAACTGGCACCCTATTCCCTACTGGCACCCTATTCCCTACTGGCACCCTATTCCCAAACAGCACCCTATTCCCTACTGGCACCCTATTCCCAAACAGCACTCTATTCCCAACTGACACCCTATTCCCTACTGGCACCCTATTCCCTACTGGCACCCTATTCCCAAACAGCACCCTATTCCCAACTGGCACCCTATTCCCAACTGGCACCCTATTCCCAGCTGGCACCCTATTCCCAGCTGGCACCCTATTCCCAACTGGCACCCTATTCCCTAGATAGTGTAATTATTTTGACCAGATGACACCTTATTCTATATTTAGTGTATAATCAATGGGGATTGAGGGATTGAAACTCACTCCTCAGGCTGAAATGTCTCCACTTTGGGTTAGAACGTTTCAGGAGGGCGGGTCACGTGTGTTTTTAGGCAGATATACAGTATATCTTACTGTAATTAGGTAAATATTAAAGTAATATAGTACATCTTCTGTGTTCTGTGCAGTTCATATCAAAAGAGTAATAAAGTAAATGTTAAAGTAATGAAGTATATGTTAAAGGGGCAATCTGCAGTTGCTACATCCATTTTTGGATTTATAAATTAATGATATGTACCCATGGATTCTTGAAGAATATAACGTGTTAGTGCTTCATGAGTTTAGTTCAACTGTTGTACCGCATCAGAACCCAAAACAAAAGCTTGTTCTACTTTTTTTGGAAACAATGTAAATGTGAACAAACACTATATAGCCTCATAACATGGTTAAAACTATAATTGTGATATCATGGATGGTCAGTCCTTGCATCCATAGCTTTGCCTATGAATTTGAGAGTGGTTACATTTCCCCAGGCCCATCCCGCAGCTTTTTAACGAAGCAGGGGCCGGGAGGGAAATGTATTGTTGTTTCAACTGCTGATTGCCCCTTTAAAGTAATATAGTCTTATCTTATTTTTTATGTGCTAAAAATTATATTTTCTATGTGCAGTTCATAACTAAAGAGTCCTGTCAAATCCTGTTATATGCAGTTCATCACTAAGTAATCCTGTCTGATCCTGTTATATGCAGTTCATAACTAAAGAGTCCTGTCTGATCCTATTATATGCAGTTCATAACTAAATAACCCTGTCTGATCCTGTTATATGCAGTTCATAACTAAAGAATCCTTTCTGATCCTGTTATATGCAGTTCATCACTAAAGCATCCTGTCTGATCCTGTTATATGCAGTTCATAACTAAAGAACCCTGTCTGATCCTGTTATACGCAGTTCATAACTAAAGAGTCCTGTCTGATCCTGGCTGTGACTCCAGCTAACCAGGATCTGGCCAACTCTGATGCTCTCAAGATATCTAAGGAGGTCGACCCTCAAGGTAGGGAGGGGGGGCAGAGAGGGGTTATGTCTGTCTGTGTGTGTGTGTGTGTGTGTGTGTGTGTCAGGCAAATTCGTCATGTTTTATGTCTTCTAACAGGCCCACAATGTGGTTACTAAACTCCGATTTGGATATATTTGGCTGTTTTCGCTGCATAAAAGTGGCATTTCCATGGTTTTGGTCGAACTCTTACCTGATCTATTCATATAATGGGATGTTTGAGAGAGAGTAGATGTTTGAGAGCTAGTAGATTGTTGCCACAGAGACGACCTGTGTGTTGACCTATGTGTTTCCAGGGTTACGTACCATCGGAGTGATCACCAAGCTGGACCTGATGGATGAGGGGACTGACGCACGGGACATTCTAGAGAATAAACTACTGCCGCTACGCAGGGGTGAGACACACCACACACACACACACACACACACACACACACACACACACACACACACCACACACACACACACACACACACACACACACACACACACCTGTTATAACCTGCTCCCTGCAGGTCATAACAGGATAATAACCATCTCTCCTCTACTCCTCTCCTCTCTCCTCCTCTCCTCTACTCCTCTCCTCTCTCCTCCCTCCTCTCCTCCTCTCCTCTCCCGTCCTCCTCTCCTCTACCCTCTCCTCCTCCTCCTACTCCTCTCTCCTCTCCTCGCTCCTCCTCCCTCGACTCCTCTCCTCTACTTCCTCTCTCTCGCCTCTCTCCTCCTCTCCTCTCCCTCCTCCTCTTCCTCTACTCCTCTCCTCTCTACTCTCTCCCTCTCCTCTCCGCTCTCCATCCTCCTCTCCCTCCGCCTCTCCTCTCTCCTCCTCTCCTCTACTCCTCTCCTCTCTCCTCTCCCTCTCCTCTACTCCTCTCCTCTCTCCTCCTCTCCTCTACTCCTCTCCTCTCCTCCTCTCCTCTCTCCTCCTCTCCTCTACTCCTCTCCAGGTTACATTGGGGTGGTGAATCGTAGTCAGAAGGATATTGACGGCAGGAAGGATATTAAAGCAGCTTTGGGTGCAGAGAGGAAGTTCTTCCTGTCTCATCCAGGATACAGACACATAGCTGACCGCATGGGAACACCACATCTACAGAAAACACTCAACCAGGTTAGATATGTAGACGCTATATCTACTGTCTCTCTTCTCTGTCTCTCTCTCAATTCAATTTCAATTTAAGGGCTTTATTGGCATGGAAAACACATGTTAACATTGCCAAAGCAAGTGAAGTAGATAACAAATAAAAGTGAAATAAACAATAAATATTAACAGTAAACATTACACTCACAAAAGTTCCAAAAGAATAAAGACATTTCAAATGTCATATTATAGCTATGTACAGTGTTGTAATGACGTGCAAATAGTTAAATAAATTAAAAAAACATAAATATGGGTTGTATTTACAATGGTGTTTGTCCTTCACTGGTTGCCTTTTTCTTGTGGCAACAGGTCACAAATCTTGCTGCCGTGATGGCACACTGGTATTTCACCCAATAGATATGGGAGTTTATCCAAATTGGATTTGTTTTCTAATTATTTGTGGGTCTGTGTAATCTGAGGGAAATATGTGTCTCTAATATGGTCATACATTTGGCAGGAAGTTAGGAAGTGCAGCTCAGTTTCCACCTCATTTTGTGGGCAGTGTGCACATAGCCTGTCTTCTCTTGAGAGCCAGGTCTGCCTTCGGTGGCCTTTCTCAATAGCAAGGCTATGCTCACTGAGTCTGTACATAGTCAAAGATTTCCTTAATTTTGGGTCAGTCACAGTGGTCAGGTATTCTGCCACTGTGTACTCTCTGTTTAGGGACAAATAGCATTCCAGTTTGCTCTGTTTTTTTGTAAATTCTTTCCAATGTGTCCAATGGTTGGGTCTAATTGTGTCGCTGTCCTGGGGCTCTGTGGGGTCTGTTTGTGTTTGTGAACAGAGCCCCAGGACCAGCTTGCTTAGGAGGCTCTTCTCCAGGTTCATCTCTCTGTAGGTGATGGCTTTGTTATGGGAGGTTTGGGAATCGCTTCCTTTTAGGTGGTTGTAGAATTTAACGTCTCTTTTCTGGATTAGGATAATTAGCGGGTATCGGCCTACTTCTGCTCTGCATGCATTATTTTGTGTTTATGTTGTACACAGAGGATATTTTTGCAGAATTCTGCATGCAGTATCAATTTGTTGTTTGTCCCATTTTGTGAATTCTTGGTGAGCGGACCCCAGACCTCCCAACCATAAAGGGCAATGGGTTGTAATTATAACTGATTCAAGTATTGTTAGCCAGATCCTAATTGGTATGTCGAATCTTATGTTCCTTTTGATGGCACAGAAGGCCCTTCTTGCATTGTCTCTCAGATCGTTCACAGCTTTGTGGAAGTTACCTGATGTTTAGGCCAAGGTATGTATAGTTCTTTGTGTGCTCTAGGGCAACGGTGTCTAGATGGAATTTGTATTTGTGGTCCTGGCAACTGTATCTTTTTTGGAACACCATTATTTAGTCTCTCTCTCTCTCTCTCTCTCTCTCTGTCTCTGTCTCTGTCTCTGTCTCTGTCTCTGTCTCTGTCTCTGTCTCTGTCTCTGTCTCTGTCTCTGTCTCTGTCTCTGTCTCTGTCTCTGTCTCTGTCTCTGTCTCTGTGCTGAGTGATTAGTGCTTTTTGAGGTTGGTTCGTTTTCAGTTTGAGTATAAAAACAATAATCAGGGGTTTCCTTATGAAATAATGACCTAACAATGATTCTAGAGCTTTTTAATGAACATTCCAAAGGCAAAAATAGTGAACATTCAAAATGCCAAAACATTGAAAATATTCCATTGTCTCTGTCAGGTGCACATTGGGTAGACATCAATAGAAAAATAGGAAATTACTATGAAATAATACAGTATTTCAGTTGTGTATATTACTATTAGACAGAGAGAGAGAGAGAGAGAGAGAGAGAGAGAGAGAGAGAGAGAGAGAGAGAGAAGAAGAGAGAGAGGAGAGAGAGATAGAGAGGAGAAGAGAGAGAGAGAGAGGAGAGAGAGAGAGAGAGAGAGAGAGAGAGAGAGAGAGAGAAATGCTGATCGATTCAAGGGACATTTTCAACTTCAGCACCACCCCAACATCAACATATGTGAAAATGGGGTGTTTTTGTTGTAAAAAAGATAGAGGAAGATAAGTGTTTCCAATGACATCATCGGTGTTCATCATCAGATTTTAACCAATTATGATTAGGCATTGCCTACTAATTGTTTACTAATTGGTTGATGATGTCATTGGAAACACTTATCTTCCTCTATCCTTTTTACAACAAAAACCCAGAAACACCCCATTTTCACATATGTTGATGTTGGGGTGGTGCTGAAGATGATGAATATGAAGTTGAAAATGTCCCTTGAATCGCTCAGCATTACTCTCTCTCTCTCTCTCTCTCTCTCTCTCTCTCTCTCTCGCTCTCTCTCTCTCTCTCTCTCTCTCTCTCTCTCTCTTCTCTCTCTCTCATCTTTCATCCATCCTTTTTTTTGTCACCATATACCCATTTCAACTCTCTCCCCCATCCCCCCTCCCCCTCTAGCAACTGACCAACCACATCCGGGACACGTTGCCAGGGTTACGTAGTAAGCTCCAGAGCCAGCTTCTATCTCTGGAGAAAGAGGTGGAGGAATACAAGAACTTCAAACCAGACGACCCTACACGCAAGACCAAAGCCCTACTGCAGTCAGTATACACACACACACATTAATAAACCGGATCCTCACAGTCAGTACTTTTATGATATGACTGTGTGTATGTGTATATATATGTGTATATATATGAGTGCGTTTTTGTGTGTCTGTGTGCATGCGTCTATGTTTGTGTGTGTGTGTGTGTGTGTTTAGGATGGTTCAGCAGTTTGGTGTAGACTTTGAGAAGCGTATTGAGGGATCAGGAGATCAGGTGGACACAGTGGAGCTCTCTGGAGGAGCTAGAATCAACAGGATCTTCCACGAGAGATTCCCCTTTGAACTGGTCAAGGTACACACACACACGTTTGTTTTACTATCCTCGTGGGGACCCAAAAATGTATTCCCAATCAAAATCCTATTTTCCCTAACCCTAAACCTAAACCTAAACCTAAACCTAACCCCTAACCCTAAACCTAACCCCTAACCCTGACCCTAAACCTAAACCTAACCCCTAACCCTAAACCTAAACCTAACCCCTAACCCTGACCCTAAACCTAAACCTAACCCCTAACCCTGACCCTAAACCTAAACCTAACCCCTAACCCTGACCCTAAACCTAAACCCTAACCCCTAACCCTGAAATAGGCGTTTTCCTTGTGAGGAGGCGAAATGTCCCCACTTGTTCAAGCGTTCCTTGTTTTACTGTCCTGTGAGGACGTCTGGTACCTAGTAAAACCCAAAACACAGACACACACTGATTTTTTCGTCTGTGTGTTGTGTTCAGATGGAGTTTGATGAGAAGGAGTTGAGGAGAGAGATCAGTTATGCCATCAAGAACATCCACGGAGTGAGGCAAGTATCTACCTGTCTGTCTCTCTCTATCTACCTGTCTGTCTCTCTATCTACCTGTCTGTCTCTCTCTATCTACCTGTCTGTCTCTCTCTATCTACCTGTCTGTCTCTCTCTATCTACCTGTCTGCTCTGCTCATCTACTCTCTCTACTCGCTGTTCTCTCTACTGGTCTGTCTACAGTTTGTCCTGTCTATATTCTACATGCCTGTTCTCTCTATCTACCTTCTGCTCGTCCCGTTCTCTCATCTACCTCGTCTCATCTCTGTCTGCTCTCTTCGACTCGTCCTCTACTGCGCTCTCATCTACTGTCTGTCTTCTTCCTCTCTCATCTCTCGCCTTCTCTCTCTCTCTTCTCTCTCTCTCTCTTTCTCTCTCTCTCTCTCTCTCGCGCTCTCTCTCACTCTCTCTCTCTCTCTCTCTCTCTCTCTCTCTCTCACACTCTCCCTTTCTCTACCTACAAGCCTTTCTCTCTGTCCATCTACCTACATGTCTGTCTGTCTCTACCTACATGTCTGTCTGTCTGTCTCTACCTACAAGTCTGTCTGTCTGTCTCTACCTACATGTCTGTCTCAGGGTTTCCGTTAGGAAAGTGTGGAGCCGGACATTTGACCGGCAGCATTATTATTTACCGGACATTTGATAAATGTACAGGACCCATATGCATTGGGTGCGTAACCTGATTAGGGCGTCCACCCACTGTGCTCAGAATGACATAAAATCACATTTAGATTATGGTAATTAATCTTAACAGAACATGCAAGTCAAGGATGCAACGATGTGCTGTCCTTCTTACCTAATTCTGATGCGCACTTCCAACATGTTAGAATAACTGTCCACATTTACTTTTCCTCAGGCAACAAGATGAGTAACGAACAGCAAAATCACTAGCCCATGTCAATCTACTATCCCCCGTAGTAGAAAAGTTTACCTATTCTATTGGCCAGCTTGTCGAGAAATAAATGTCCTATTCCAAACTGACCCTGGGACAGTTATGGGACGATAGATCCCAAATTCATACCACCAGTATGTACATGTCTGATGCAACAGATCAGAACCTTTAGTTTAAAATGTTGATAAAATGTTATTTATTATTGATTTATTATAAGTGGAGCAGCAGGCTGAGTGTTCCTTCCATAATACAATTAGCGGGAACACACCGTTGTCAAAAGGCGAACCGCGCATGTGAGCGGTTTCATGTGACAGAGATTAAAATATCTGTTAGAAATGTAGAAAGAGGGGAGATCTAATATGCATCATCTAGCATGGGGTTGCTGATATGACCAGGATTGTTCCTTTGGCTACTGTGTGACGCGCTGATGAAGCCTGCCTTCCGTTGCCTCTGCATTTGCTATTTGAGATGCTGTAGCATTTGTGATAAAGAAGATACATAATGCATATACTGTACATGCGCCAATTTTAATGCCAATATATTATGAAAATTAACCTATAGACGGATAAGCATGGACCGGTCAAATGTATTTCCATCCACTGGTGTTTCCATCAATGATGTCACAATGGGATTGTTTCTTCTTCTCCTGGACAATTGGCCTGCGGCAATGTTATTTATCGGCTTTTCAATTTTTTTTATTGGCCAAAAGCCGGCTATTAACGGCTAACGGAAACCTTTGTCTGTCTGTCTCTACCCACATGTCTGTCTGTCTACCTGTCTGTCAATCCGCCTCTACCTACATGTCTGTGTGTCTGTCTGTGTGCCCCCTCCAGAACGGGTCTGTTCACCCCTGACCTAGCCTTTGAGGCCATAGTGAAAAAGCAGATCATTAAGCTGAAAGAGCCCTGTCTGAAATGTATGGACCTGGTGATCCAGGAGCTCATCAACACCGTGCGCCAGTGCACCAATAAGGTACCGCACTGCATGGAGCCTGTAATGCCCTGTCATGCTACTTCAGGCCACATGGGGGCGCTATGAAGCTAGCCTTTAATGCTACCATGCTAACCAGGGTAGCGCACTGCATGGTACAGCACTATGTAGGGTAAAGTTGTCCCTAGACGCTGATCTGGGGTCAGTTTAGCATTTTCCCCACTAATGGTTAACAATTAGTTTAGGTTTGAATTAGGGGAGGGGAAGCTGATCCTAGATCTGTACCTAGGGAAGACTTCCCCCCCAGAGAGCATGGAGCCTGTAATACCTGTCATGCTACGCCTGGCCACAGGGAGGGCGATGTGGAGCTAGCTTGTCTTGTAGTGTTTTCAGGGTGTTGTGCTGTTAGATGTGTGAGAGACTGTTTATGTGTCTCTGGTTCCCCCTCAAGACAAGCTGCTGGTTGACACGCATGCGGACATACGCAGACACACAGAAATACCATGTGACTTAGTGGATTTCAAAGACTTACTTCCTTTTCCTGTATTATCCTGAAGGATTGTGGGATGCCTACCTGCTCCTTGTTTTGGTTTAGTAACAGATGCCAGTAAGAACTAACTGACTAAACAAAATGACTTTTCTCTCTCTCTTTCTTTGTTCTTCTCCCTCTATCTCTCTCTTTTATTTTATTTCCCTCTTTCACTGCTCTACCACGTCTCTCCCTCTCTTAATCTGTTTCTATCCGGACTCCTACCTTCCCTGACTCATCCCCACCATGACCCCTCCAACTCCCTGACTCCTCCTTCTCCTGCCCTACCGTGATAAACTACATCTCCCATGATGCTCCAGAACGGGCCTGTTCACCCCTGACCTTGCCTTTGAGGCCATAGTGAAAAAGCAGATCATTAAACTGAAAGAGCCCTGTCTGAAATGCGTCGACCTCGTCGTGTCCGAGCTCACCACCCTCGTCAGGAAGTGTAGCGGAAAGGTAAAGAGAGAAGAAGAACCACAGTGGAGAGAAAGATGGAGAGGAGGAGGGAAGAGAGGAGGAGGGATAGCAGCTGCGTCCAGTTTATCTCTCCTTACTCCCAAAGAGTACACTCGTTCACTTCCCTTCACTGATTTGAAAGGAAATTACTGTGGAAACTCCCTCTCTAGCGCCACGCCTCATTTTACATTTTTAGTCATTTAGCACAACCCTGGCGTTGCAAGCGCCATGCTCTACCAACTGAGCTACAGGGGACTGAGCTACAGGGGACTGAGCTACAGGGGACTGAGCTACAGGGGACTGAGCTACAGGGGACTGAGTTACAGGGGACTGAGTTACAGGGGACTGAGCTACAGGGGACTGAGCTACAGGGGACTGAGCTACAGGGGACTGAGCTACAGGGGACTGAGCTACAGGGGACTGAGCTACAGGGGACTGAGTTACAGGGGACCGAGTTACAGGGGACTGAGCTACAGGGGACTGAGCTACAGGGGACTGAGTTACAGGGGACTGAGTTACAGGGGACTGAGCTACAGGGGACTGAGCTACAGGGGACTGAGTTACAGGGGACTGAGCTACAGGGGACTGAGTTACAGGGGACTGATACAGGGGACTGAGTTACAGGGGACTGAGCTACAGGGGACTGAGCTACAGGGGACTGAGCTACAGGGGACTGAGCTACAGGGGACTGAGCTACAGGGGACTGAGCTACAGGGGACTGCCTCCACCAATCTAATGCGTTTAGATTTTGAGGGAAGTAGGGAACGAGTGTACACTTCAGGAGGACAGAGGTATTATTGGAACGTACCCAATAGATTGATGGATGGAGAGAATGAAGAGAATTGTGTTTCTACCACTTCTCCTACCAGTCTCCCTCCCTCCCTCCCTCCCTCCCTCCACCCCCTCCTCCTCTCCCTCCACCCCCTACTCCTCTCCCTCCACTCCCCCCAGTTGATTGAACTTCTCCTCACCCCTCTGGGTAGAATTATTGCTGTCTGTATAGTCACTAACCCCCCCCCCCCCCATTAGCATTGGCCGCATTCCAGGCTGACTACATCTGACTACGTAAGCCAGATCTCACAACGCCTGGATAGGTGTTTAGCATATTTAACAGCTAACCACAACATATGATAAAGCATTCTGATACCTGACTGCACAGTCAGTGACGTGACAACCATTGTTTGATACAATGCAACGACTGCAATAGAGTAACACAGTATGAGGCATAATACCCATAAAACCTAGCGGTCAAACAAGGAAATGGCTCCAATCGTTTTTCCACCATTCATTTTTCCCATAGGGGATTTTACACTTCAAATAAGGGCTGTGTTTCGTGTAGGTTTACCCTGGCGTGACGTTTTGATAACCGTGTAAATCTGTCTAGGACAAGGTGATTTTTATAAAAATAGTCGCCTGTATTTACCCCCCAAAAAGGAAATACAATTTAGCTGCTAATGTGGCTATTATAAAGAACTACTAATGCCATGATGATCTCGATGAGACTGCCGAATCGAGGCAAAGGTAAGAATCTCTGGATTAACTATCTAATATTAGCTCAATTTAGTAATGAATAAATTGGCTAAATTCCTTTTAAATTGACAATTTTGTGAACTGTCTTGTGCAAGTTTTAAATTGACACAATACCTGTTAGCAAAGGCGTCAGCTAGAGATGACGTGCAGGAGCTTGCAGGGATTTGTAGTTTTGAATTATGTCTACTTTTATGCTAATTAGCATTTTTGAATCTGAATATATTAAAGATTAAAGTCACCTTGTCATTAGAGAGATTTACATGGTTATCAAAACATCATGCCAGGGTAAGCCTACACATATTAAGTGTTTCTAAAATCCTCTATGGGAAAAATGAATGGTGGAAAAACGATTGGAACCATTTCCCTGTTTGACCGCTAGGTTTTATGGGTATTGTGACACCTCCGCTGTGGGGCTCTATGTAGTCGGCCTGGAACGTAACCTCTGCTCCTAAATCCAACAGCCCCTCCCTCTGAATCCACACCCAGCCCCTTCCTCACCCCCACAGCACAGTGATTGTTGCTTTAACCTCCCTTCACCCCGCCCCTCCCTCAATCATCCAATCAAAACACTCACCTCCCCTTACCTCAGCTTAAAACGTCAGCCCCGGAACCTTTGTCTTTATCGTTCACCCTATGTAGCTCAGGGGGAAGACATTCTGTGTGACACACCCTTTCCTATGCTTACCCAACCATGTCCAGTCACTCAACCCATACTTTGACCAATCAGAACGTTCCTCCTGTCTCTTTAAATCCTCTCTCTGACTCTCACCTCTGTTCCCTAACTCGCCTTGTACTAACATGCTAAATCACAGGTGTCAAACCCATTCCATGTCTGCAGGTCTTCACTCCTCCCTCACTTGTACTAGATTGATCGATTCAGACCGGTTAGTTAGGAACTCCCCTGACCTGGTTGTCGAGGTCTTAACTGGACACAAGCTGAGGGACGATAACACAACCAGCAGACAGAGTTGGACTCCCCGTCACTAAATCAATCACATGGTATTAGTGCTCAGCTTGGGATACCTGTGGGATATCGATTACAGTATTGTGAGCATGCTGGCTAAAACCAGATCAAAATCTCCTAAATCAGATAAAACTAGCCTCAAACCAGTTTGTGTTAGTTTAAACTGGTTTTCCTAGATTCAAACTGGTTGATGTTAGTTTATATCAGATATACTACCGTCCCAATGTCCTATCTGCATGACCCCTCTATGTTGAACTGTCTGTCCCCTATACATACATGTCCATCACTAGGGGTGTGCTTGTTTGGCTGGATGGGTGTGTGTGTGTGCGTTAGTGTGTGTGTGTGTGTCTGAGTGAAAGAGAGGCGTGTGCATGTGCATGCATGTGTGTGTGATTGTTTGTTTGTGTGGAAGTGTGTGTGCATGAACGTACTTGTGTGTGTGTATGTGTTTGCATTCATGCGTTCATGTGTGTGTTTGCGTTCGTGTGTGTGTGTGTGTGTGGTGTGTGTGTGTGTGTGTGTGTGTGTGGTGTGTGTGGTGTGTGTGTGTTGTGTGTGTGTGTGTGTTGTGTGTGTGTGTGTGTGTGTGTGTGTGGTGTTGTGTTGTGGTGCGTGCGTGCGTGCGTGCTTGTGTGTGTACGTCAGTACCTGCAGTATTGTGTGTTGGTCCACAGCTTGGCTCCTACCCCAGACTGAGAGAAGAGACGGAGAGAATCGTCACAACCTACGTCAGAGAGAGGGACATCAAAACCAAAGACCAGGTGAGAGGGAGAGATGGAGAGAGAGAGAGATGGAGAGAGATAGGGGCAGGATGGAGAGAGTGGGAGAGAAAGAGAGGCTGACCTGTTCTGTCTGACCTGTCTGTACCTGTTCTGTCTGTCTTTCTGTCTGTCTGTCTGTTCTGTCTGTCTGTCTCTCTGTCTCAGGTGCTGCTGTTGATTGACATCGAGCTGTCTTACATCAACACAAACCATGAGGATTTCATTGGCTTCGCAAAGTGAGTTGACCTACTTGTAACTCCTAGCAACATTCACCTGACTATGTACCTCCTAGCAATGACCTTTCAACTTTTACCTGACTATGTAACCCCTAGCAATGACATTTCAACCTTAACCTGGCTATGTAACCCCTATCAACGACCTTTCAACTTTCACCTATGTAACCCCTAGCAACGACCTTTCAACTTTGTCAGTAGTCCACTTCATGTCAGTTGTCCACGGCTGCGTCCCAATTATCTCTCCTTTCTCCCAAAGTGTGCACTTCACTCCTTCTAGCCCATGCCTACTCCACCAATCCAATGCTTTTAAACTTGTGGTGAGTAGTGAACGAGAGCACACTTCAGGAAGAAGGAGAGATTATTGGGAAGCACCCCATATGTGATTGTTTTTCTATCTGGTTTCTGTCTCCCCTGCAGCGCGCAACAGAGGACCGCTGTTACTGCTGCTGTTAACAACAAGAAGAGAGTGATGCCAAACCAGGTACCACAAAAAATGACCCTCCTCTCTCTCTGTCTCTCTCGCTATCTCACTCTCTCTCTCTCTGTCTCTCTCTCTATCTCACTCCCTCTCTCTCTGTCTCTCTCTCTCTCTCACTCTCTCTCTCTCTGTCACTCTCACTCTCTCACCCCCCTATCCTGAACTAATGGTCTGTCCCGCTGTGTGTAGGTGATCCGGAGGGGCTGGCTCACTATCAACATAAGCATTATGAAGGGGGGTTCCAAAGACTACTGGTTCGTCCTGACTGCAGAGTCACTGTCCTGGTACAAGGATGAGGAGGTAAGGGGGGAGGGAGTGTGTGTGTGTGTGGGGGGGGTTGTATGGAAGACCGATGCACTCGTTTCTTAAACATTTGAACCAGGTACCGATGCATATTGGTGAATCGTTACATCCCTACAAGCTAGCTAGCCAAGTTCCCAAAGCTAGCTTAATACTGTGGCTAGTGGCTTGACCGGACCGGGTCCGACCCTCAACCAGATACCACTACTGTCTTGGACATTCAGGATATTCAGATGATGCCACCTAGATAGTTAGCTAACTAACTAGATAACTACTGAAACAGATGATGCCACCTAGATAGTTAGCTAACTAACTAGATAACTACTGAAACAGATGATGTCACCTAGATAGTTAGCTAACTAACTAGATAACTACTGAACAGATGATGCCACCTAGATAGTTAGCTAACTAACTAATACTACTGAACAGATGATGTCACCTAATAGTTAGCTAACTAACTAGATAACTACTGAAACAGATGATGTCACCTAGATAGTTAGCTAACTAACTAGATAACTACTGAAACAGATGATGCCACCTAGATAGTTAGCTAACTAACTAGATAACTACTGAAACAGATGATGTCACCTAGATAGTTAGCTAACTAACTAGATAACTACTGAAACAGATGATGTCACCTAGATAGTTAGCTAACTAACTAGATAACTACTGAAACAGATGATGTCACCTAGATAGTTAGCTAACTAACTAGATAACTACTGAAACAGATTATGTCCTTTTGCAATGTGTCTAACTGTGTGTGTGTGTGTGTGTGTCTGTATGTATAACTAGGTGTGTGTGTGTATGTCTAACTGTGTGTGTGTGTTGTAACTGTGTGTGTGTAACTGTGTGTGTGTGTGTAACTGTGTGTGTGTGTGTGTATGTCTAACTGTGTCTGTGTTTGTGTGTCTAACTGTGTGTATGTCTAACTGTGTGTGTGTCTAACTGTGTGTGTGTCTAACTGTGTGTATGTCTAACTGTGTGTGTGTCTGTGTGTATGTCTAACTGTGTGTATGTCTAACTGTGTGTGTGTCTAACTGTGTGTATGTCTAACTGTGTGTGTGTCTAACTGTGTGTATGTCTAACTGTGTGTATGTCTAACTGTGTGTATGTCTAACTGTGTGTGTGTCTAACTGTGTGTGTGTCTAACTGTGTGTGTCTAACTGTGTGTATGTCTAACTGTGTGTGTGTCTAACTGTGTGTGTGTGTGTGTGTGTGTCTAACTGTGTGTATGTCTAACTGTGTGTGTGTCTAACTGTGTGTGTGTCTAACTGTGTGTATGTCTAACTGTGTGTGTGTCTAACTGTGTGTGTGTCTAACTGTGTGTATGTCTAACTGTGTGTATGTCTAACTGTGTGTGTGTCTAACTGTGTGTATGTCTAACTGTGTGTATGTCTAACTGTGTGTGTGTCTAACTGTGTGTATGTCTAACTGTGTGTGTGTGTCTAACTGTGTGTGTGTCTAACTGTGTGTGTGTCTAACTGTGTGTGTGTGTGTGTGGTGTGTGTGTGTGTGTGTAGTCTAACTGTGTGTATGTCTAACGTGTGTGTATGTCTAACTGTGTGTGTGTTCTAACTGTGTGTATGGCTAACTGTGTGTGTGTCTAACTGTGTGTGTATGTCTAACTGTGTGTGTATGTCTAACTGTGTGTGTGTGTCTAACTGTGTGTGTGTGTGTCTACTGTGTGTGTATCTAACTGTGTGTGTTGTGTGTGTGTCTACTGTGTGTATTCTCTGTGTGTATGTCTACTTGTGGTGTGTGTCTACTGTGTGTATGTCTGTGTGTGTATGTCGAACTGGTGTGTTTGTCTAACTGTGTTTGTGTCGACTGGTGTGGGTTCTAAACTGTGTGTGTGTGGTTATGTCTAACTGGTGGTGTGTGTCTAACTGTGTGTGTGTGTGTGTCTAACTGTGTGTATGTCTAACTGTGTGTATGTCTAACTGTGTGTGTGTGTCTAACTGTGTGTATGTCTAACTGTGTGTATGTCTAACTGTGTGTGTGTCTAACTGTGTGTGGTGTGTGTGGTGTTGTGTGTGTGTGTGTGTGTGTGTCTAACTGTGTGTATGTCTAACTGTGTGTGTGTGTCTAACTGTGTGTGTGTCTAACTGTGTGTATGTCTAACTGTGTGTGTGTCTAACTGTGTGTATGTCTAACTGTGTTTGTGTCTAACTGTGTGTATGTCTAACTGTGTGTGTGTCTAACTGTGTGTATGTCTAACTGTGTGTATGTCTAACTGTGTGTGTGTCTAACTGTGTGTATGTCTAACTGTGTGTGTGTCTAACTGTGTGTGTGTCTAACTGTGTGTGTGTCTAACTGTGTGTGTGTGTGTGTGTGTGTGTGTGTCTAACTGTGTGTATGTCTAACTGTGTGGATGTCTAACTGTGTGTGTGTGTCTAACTGTGTGTGTGTGTCTAACTGTGTGTGTGTCTAACTGTGTGTGTGTCTAACTGTGTGTGTGTGTGTCTAACTGTGTGTATGTCTAACTGTGTGTATGTCTAACTGTGTGTGTGTGTCTAACTGTGTGTAAGGTCTAAACTGTGTGTGTGTCTAACTGTGTGGTGTGTCTAACTGGTGGTGTGTGTGTCTAACTGTGTGTGTGTCTACTGTGTGTGGGTGTCTAACTGTGTGTAATGTCTAACTGTGTGTATGTCTACTGTGGTGTGTCTAACTGTGTGTGTCTAACTGTGTGTGTGTCTAACGTGTGTGTGTGGTGTCTAACTGTGTGTGTGTTCTAACTGTTGTGTTTGTGGTCTAAAACTGTGTGTGTGTGTCTAACTGTGTGTGTCTAACTGTGTGTGTGTGTCTAACTGTGTGTGTGGTGTCTAACTGTGGGTGTGGTGTGTCTAACTGTGTGTGTGTGTCTAACTGTGTGTGTGTGTCTAACTGTGTGTGTGTGTCTAACTGTGTGTGTGTGGTCTAACGTGTGTGTGTGTTAACTGGGTGTGTGTCTAACTGTTGTGTGGCTAACTGTTGTGTCTAACTGGTTTGTTGTGTGTCCTAACTTGTGTATGTCCTAACCTGGTGTGTGTGTCTAACTGTGGGTGTGTCTAACTGTGTGTGTGTCTAACTGTGTGTGTGTCTAACTGTGTGTATGTCTAACTGTGTGTATGTCTGTGTATGTCTAACTGTGTGTGTTTTCCAGGAGAAAGAGAAGAAGTACATGCTGCCTCTAGATAATCTGAAGCTGAGAGACGTGGAGAAAGGTTTCATGTCCACAAAACACACCTTCGCCATCTTCAACACCGAGTCCAGGTGTGTGTGTATCTGTATGCGTACGTACGCGTTTGTGTGTGTGTGTGTGTATCTGTAAACAGTGTATGTAACGTTTAGAAATACTGAGTGTGTGTACTTTGTCATGCGTGTGTGTGCACGGTGTGCGTCTGTGTGTGTGTGTGTGTGTGTGTGGTGTGTGTGTTTTTCCAGGAACGTGTATAAGGACCTACGTCAGATAGAGCTGGCCTGTGACACACAGGAGGATGTCGACAGCTGGAAGGCTTCTTTCCTCAGAGCTGGAGTTTACCCTGAGAAAGACCAGGTAAAACACACACAGGAGGATGTCGACAGCTGGAAGCTTCTTTCCTCAGAGCTGGAGTTTTACCCTGAGAAAGACCAGGTAAACACACACAGGAGGATGTCGACAGCTGGAAGGCTTCTTTCCTCAGAGCTGGAGTTTACCCTGAGAAAGACCAGGTAAAACACACACAGGAGGATGTCGACAGCTGGAAGGCTTCTTTCCTCAGAGCTGGAGTTTACCCTGAGAAAGACCAGGTAAAACACACACAGGAGGATGTCGACAGCTGGAAGGCTTCTTTCCTCAGAGCTGGAGTTTACCCTGAGAAAGACCAGGTAAAACACACACAGGAGGTGTCGACAGCTGGAAGCCTTCTTTCCTCAGAGCGGGAGTTTACCCTGAGAAAGACCGGGTAAAACCCCACACAGAGGATGTCGACAGCTGGAAGCTTTTTTTCCCCTCCGAGCTGGAGTTTACCCTGAGAAAGACCAGGTAAAACACACACAGGAGGATGTCGACAGCTGGAAGGCTTCTTTCCTCAGAGCTGGAGTTTACCCTAAAAAGACCAGGTAAAACACACCCCAGGAGGATTTTCGACAGCTGGAAGGCTTCTTTCCTCAGAGCTGGATTTTCCCCTGAGAAAGACCAGTAAAACACACCAGGGGGATGTCGACAGCTGGAAGGCTTCTTTCCTCAGAGCTGGAGTTTTACCCTGAGAAAGACCAGGTAAACACACACAGGAGATGTCGACAGCGGAAAGGGCTTCTTTCCTCAGGCGGGAGTTTACCCTGAGAAAGACCAGGTAAAACACACACAGGGGGATGTCGACAGTTTGGAAGGCTTTCTTTCCTCAGAGCTGGAGTTTACCCTGAAAAGACCCAGGTAAAACACACACAGGAGGATGTCGACAGCTGGAAGGCTTCCTTTCCTCATCAGAGCTGGATTTTACCCTGAGAAAAGACCAGGTAAAACACACACAGAGGATGTCGACAGCTGGAAGGCTTCTTTCCTCAGAGCTGGAGTTTACCCTGAGAAAGACCGGTAAAACACACACAGGAGGATTCGACAGCTGGAAGGCTTCTTTCCTCAGAGCTGGAGTTACCCTGAGAAAGACCAGGTAAAACACCACAGGAGGATGTCGACAGCTGGAAGGCTTCTTTCCTCAGAGCTGGAGTTTACCCTGAGAAAGACCAGGTAAAACACACACAGGAGGATGTCGACAGCTGGAAGGCTTCTTTCCTCAGAGCTGGAGTTTACCCTGAGAAAGACCAGGTAAAACACACACAGGAGGATGTCGACAGCTGGAAGCTTCTTTCCTCAAGCTGGAGTTTAACCCCCTGATGAAAGACCAGGTAAAACAACACACAGGAGGATGTCGACAGCTGGAAGGCTTCTTTCCTCAGAGCTGGAGTTTTTACCCTGAGAAAGACCAGGTAAACACACACAGGAGGATGGTCGACAGCTGGAAGGCTTCTTTCCTCAGAGCTGGAGTTTACCCTGAGAAAGACCAGGTAAAACACACACAGGAGGATGTCGACAGCTGGAAGGCTTCTTTCCTCAGAGCTGGAGTTTACCCTGAGAAAGACCAGGTAAAACACACACAGGAGGATGTCGACAGCTGGAAGGCTTCTTTCCTCAGAGCTGGAGTTTACCCTGAGAAAGACCAGGTAAAACACACACAGGAGGATGTCGACAGCTGGAAGGCTTCTTTCCTTCCTCAGAGCTGGAGTTTACCCTGAGAAAGACCAGGTAAAAACACACACAGGAGGATGTCGACAGCTGGAAGGCTTCTTTCCTCAGAGCTGGAGTTTACCCTGAGAAAGACCAGGTAAAACACACACAGGAGGATGTAGCCACCATAGACATTACAACCAGAATTTGAAGCGCTCCCATTTGCTGGATGGGGCTGAATGCCACCCCAAAAAAATCGCTAAGGATCATGGTGAAAGTGGCCGTAACTAGCGGTCGATGTAGTCGTTTTCATGCTGCCTGAGAGAGGCCTCGAGGCCTGCCGTCTGTTTCAGCACGTGGTCCTGTGTGATGACAAATGTAGTAGTCCAGAATGGATCACTATTTAATGAAATATCTTGATATCTTGATTTTTAGCGAACTTTTAAACAATTCACTGTGGGGTTCGAACTTGATCATAATAAACACATTTTAGAGGCCAAAACTGGTGTCTAAAAAATTATTGGTTTGGCCATTCTGGCGATCGTAATTTACATAGGCTTTCTAGGGCAGACTAGGACCTTTGTCACTGCTAGGTTGCTACACAGTACCCAACCAGCAGAGATCGTGACTTCACACTCCAGACCGGACGCTGGGGGAGTAACACACACACACACACAAATGGATACATAAACACGCAAGCATGTGCACACACACTCCCCCTCTCTCCCTTCCGCCATGTTGACAGTGAAAGCACAGGACCAGAAGAATCCTTCTCAATGTGTCTCATATTCATCTCTCTCTCTCTCTCCTCTCTCTTCTCTCCTCTCTCTTCTCTCCGGTGCTCTCTCCTCTCTCTCTCCTCTCTCTCTCTTCTCTCTGTTCTCTCCTCTCTCTCTCTCTCTCTCTCTCGCCTCCATGGTGGCAATACTCTCTACTCCCCTCCGCCCCTCTCTCTCTCCCCCCCCTCTCTCTCTTCTCCCCCCTCCTCTCTCTCTCTCTCTCCTCCCCTCCTCTCTCTCTCGCCCCCCCTCTCTCTCTCTCTTCCTCTCGCTCCTCTGCCTCTCCCTCCCTCCCACTCCCTATCTCCCAGATTGACAGTGAGGACACAGGACCAGCAGAATCCTTCTCTATGGACCCACAGCTGGAGAGACAGGTTGAGACCATAAGGAATCTAGTGGATTCCTACATCGGCATCGTCAACAAGTCTATCAGGGATCTAATGCCAAAGACCATCATGCACCTCATGATCAACAGCGTGAGTGGACACCTCACGCACGCACACACACACACACACACCACACACACCACACACACACACATACGCCTCCTGAAGCACACCAGAGCACACATGCATACACACACACACACACCAATCAATCAAATGTATTTATTAAGCCCTTTTTACAGAAACCCAGCCTAAACCCCCCAAAGAGCAAGCAATGCAGATGTAGAAGCACGGTGGCTAGTAAAAACTCCCTAGAAAGGCAGGAACCTAGGAAGAAACCTAGAGAGGAACCAGGCTCTGAGGGGTGGCCAGTCCTCTTCTGGCTGTGCCAGATGGAGATTATAAGAGTTCATGGCCATTAAGGCCAGATTGTTCTTCAAGATGTTCAAACGTTCAGAGATGACCAGCAGGGTCAAATAATAATCACAGTGGTTATAGAGGGTGCAACAGGTCAGAGAGAGAGAGAGAGAGAGAGACGAAACGAAACAGCAGGTCCGGGCCAAGGTAGCACGTCTGGTGAACAGGTCAGGGTTCCAAAGCTGCAGGCAGAACATCAGAAACATGGTCTCAGGTCCTCCGGGAGAGAGAGAGAGCGAAAGAGAGATAGGCGAATTAGAGGGAGCATACTTAAGTTCACACAGGACACCAGAAAAGACAGGAGAATTACACCAGGTAGGACAGACTTACCTTAGCCCCCCGGCACATAGACTATGGCAGCATAGATACTGGAGACTGATACAAGGGGGGTGGTCAAGGGGCACTGTGGCCCCGTCCGACGATACCCCCGGACAGGGCCAACCAGGCAGGATATAACCCCACCCACTTTGCCAAAGCACAGCCCCCACACCACCAGAGGGATATCAACAGACCACCAACTTACTACCCCGAGACAAGGTGGAGTATAGCCCACGAAGATCTCCCCCACCGCACGAGCCCGAGGGGGCGACAAACCGGACAGGAAGATCAAGTCAGTGACTCAACCCACACAAGTTGAGTGTAGCGAAAAAAGCCTTGCACAACGTGATGCACCCCTTGTAGGGACGGCATGGGAGAGCACTAGCAAGCCAGTGACTCAGCCCCCGGCAGAGAATCCCAGTAGAGAGGGGAGCCGGCAAGGCAGAGACAGGGTGGTTCGTCACTCCAGTGCCTTGCCGTTCACCTTCGCAACCCTGGGCCAGACTACACTCAATCATGGGACCTACTGAAGAGATGAGTCTTCAGTAAAGATTTAAAGGTCGAGACCGAGTCTACGTCTCTCACATGGATCGGCAGACCATTCCATAAAAAATGATCTCTATAGGAGAACAATTACTCCATGCCGACACATCTTTCTAGCTAAGTTACACGCTAAAGCTATGTTGCACTTGGTGACCTCTGACTGTTTCATCCTAACATTGATGGTGCCGACGTGGATAACAATATCCCTATACCATCTACACTCGCCAGTTTTAGCCTCAGCCAGCACCATCTTCAGATTAGCCTTTCCGCGGTAGCCCTGCTCCCTGGTAAACAGTGTATGATCGCTGGATGACTAGGGTTTTCAATTAGTCCGAGTTAATGGTAGGAGGCTTCGGTGGGTCAAACCCCGTAACGGGTGGAGGAGAGACCTGGGAAGGCTCTGACTCCCGACTCGTTGCTTAGTGGGGAAAACAGGTTGAACGTTTCTATCGGCTGAATGAGCGACACCGGTTGAGCATGCCGACAGCATTTCTTTCCAGAAGCCGTGAGAAAATGATCTGGCTGCGGGGACTGTGCATGGGGATCAACACTACTACCTGTACTTACTGGTGGCACAGATGCTGTTTCATCCTTTCATACATTTACATTGCTTATGACTGCATCTGAAGCGATAGTTCTCCTCTAAATGATGAGTACAGCGACTGCAATGAGATGGCATAGTGTTAATGTTACTTAGCTTTTCCGGCTGGTGGAGTTTCTGTAGAACCATGTCCAGATAAAGGGACGGGGTGATAAAGGTGAATGAAAAAAGTAGAGTGAGGACGTTTGTAAACTTAAATACAGAGTTTGATTAAACGGTTATTAAAAGTAAAAAGCGAAAACAGTTTGGCAGGTAGCCAAGTAGCAACAAACAGCACGGAGACAACGTGGAATTGTGAACACACACACACACACACCAGACTATGTGAACACACACACCAGACCATGTGAACACACACACACATACACACCAGACTATGTGAACACGCATATACACACCAGACTATGTGAACACACACACACATACACACCAGACTATGTGAACACACATATACACACCAGACTATGTGAACACACACACCAGACCATGTGAACACACATATACACACCAGACTATGTGAACACACACATACACACCAGACTATGTGAACACACATATACACACCAGACTATGTGAACACACATATACACACCAGACTATGTGAACACACATATACACACCAGACTATGTGAACACACACACACACACCAGACTTGATGTACTAACTCTCTTCTCTCCTCCTCTCTCCCTCCCCCTCTCCCCCTGTCCTTCTCTAGGCTAAAGACTTCATCCATTCTGAGTTGTTAGCCTACCTGTATTCCTGTGGGGACCAGGGCAGTATGATGGAGGAGTCAGCTGACCAGGCTCAGAGGAGAGATGAGATGTTGAGGATGTATCATGCTCTGAAAGAAGCCCTGGTGATCATAGGGGATATCAGTACTACCACAGTGTCGGCTCCTGTACCTCCACCTGTAGACGACACCTGGAGGACCAAGGAACCCAGGTAACAGAGAGACATACACACAAGGCTCTCACTATGTCAATGTACATTTGGACGTGAAACTGGGAATATACATATATTTATTTCCCTTTTCTTCCACTATCTCTCTCTATCTATTTCCCTCTATCCCCCCATCTCTCCCTCTATCCCCCTATCTCTTCCTCTATCCCCCATCTCTTCCTCTATCCCCCTATCTCTCCATCTCCACCTATCTCTCCATCTCCCCCCTCTCTCCCCCTCTATTCCCCTCTCTCTATCTCTCTCCCTCTCCCTCTCTCCACCCCCCCCCCCCCCCCCCCCCCAGCCCCCCTCCTCAGGCCAGACCAGCTCCGGCCGCTGCCCCCCCTCCTAGTCGCCCCCCGGCAGTAAGAGGCCCCACCCCCGCCCCACCTCCCTCCAGTACCCAAAACCCAGCTTTCGGGGCGCCCCTCATCCCCTCTCGACCCGGACCCCCACCAGTCAACACCTACAGTGGAGCGGACCCTGTTGCCAATGTCCCCCTGATCCCGTCTCGCCCAGCCAGGGTACCCCCAGTACTGCCCCCCGGCATACCCAGGTAAGAGCTCTGCTCCTGGGCAGGGCGGTGTGCACGCCTCGCCTACCTCTGGGGGTATGGAGGGTAGAACTACTAGAACGGTCTATTGGGTCACAATGGATCACAGTGTTTGGTAAGGGAATGCTGTACATTTAGATGTTGTGGTTTGGGTGGTGGTAGTGGTGGTGCTGGTGGTGGTTGTGGAGGGGGGTTTGGTGGTGGGGGGTTTGGTGGTAGTGGTTGTGGAGGGGGTTTGGTGTATTGTGGGTTGTGGAGGGGGTTTTTGGGTGTCATTATGTGTTGTGGAGGGGGTTTGGTGTATTGTGGGTTGTGGAGGGGGTTTGGGGTGTATTGGGGGTGGGGGGGGGGTTTTTGGGTGTTTGGGGTTTGGGGGGGGAGGGGTTTGGGGGTTTTGGGGGGGGGTTTTGAGGGGGGGTTTTGGGGGTTTGGGGTTGGGGGGGGGTTTGGGTTTTGGGGGGGGGTTGGGCGGGGGTTTTGGTGCTTGGGGGGGTTGGGGGGGTTTTTTTGGGGGTTTGGGGGGGGTTTGGGGTTTTTGTGCGGGGGGGGGTTTTTTTTGGTTGGGGTTGGGGGGGGGGGGGGGGGGGGGGGGTTTTCTTTTGGGGGGGGGTTTTTTCCCCCCCCCCCCCCCCCCCTTCCCCCCCCCCCCCCCCCCCCCCCACCCCCCCCCCCTACCCCCCCCACCCCCCAAAACCCAAAAAAAAAACCCCAAAAAAAAAAAAAACCCCCCCCCCCCCCCCAAAAACCTCCCTCCCCCAAATTCCCCCCCCCTTCTCTCCATCCTTTTTCCCCCCCCCCCTCCCCCCTTGTCCTCCTCTACAAAGAACCCCCCCAGCGCCCAGGCCGTTCCCACCTCTCCCCCCTTCAAGCCCTTCCTGCTGATTAAAAAAAAAAAACAAAAAAAAAAAAAAAGAAAAAAAACCAAAAAAGAAACAAAAAAAAAAACCCCCAAATAACACACCCCCCCCACACAGAAGAGAGAAGAAAGAGAAAGAGACCCTTAAAAACAATTCCCACCCCAATGTTTTTGACTACAACAAAAAATTGTAAAGTTGGTTTTTTTTTAACATTTTTAAAAAAGTTTTAATTACTTCCTTTTATTTAAGGGGCAATTATGTTTTTCATTTTTTCCTCTTAATATTGTCATATTATTGTTATCAGATTGTTATTATTTACGTTTGTTCATTTAAGCAACACTATGTACTTTTGATTATTTTGTTTTTTAGCTTTGTAACAAGTTTTAATTAAAATTTTAAAGAGAGGGAGATGAGGAAGAGGAAAGAGGGAGCAGGAGAAAGAGAGAGGAAGAGAGAGGAGAGAGGAGAGAGACACTTTTTTTTGAACCTATTTATTTTTTTATAGTTTTTTTAGGGAACAAGTTTAAAAACCGAAAATTTTTTAAGGGGAAAGAGAGAGAAGACAATCTTAACAAATAGACGAATGGAGCGAAAAAGGTTTCAGGAATTTTTTTTGGGTTGAAAGAGAGAGAGAGCTACATTTTAAGCAACACTATGTACTTTTGATTACGTAGTTTTTTAACTTTGTAACAATGTTTAATACCTGCAATTTTTTTAAGTGATTGAAAGGAGAGAGAGAGCTACATTTTTAAGCAACACTATGTACTTTTGATTACATTGTTTTTTAGCTTTGTAACAATGTTTATTACCTGCAACAACAATAAATTTGAGAGAGAGAGAATGAAACCTACATTTCTTTGTTTCACTCTAACTTACTTCAATGAACTTAGTTCAAACCAGGGGATATGATATCATTTCAAATCAAACAGGTTTAAAAATGTTTAATGATTGTTGTGAATACCTAGAACTTGTTGATTCTTGTATGACTTCTTTACATGGAGACATTCCAATTTTTTAAATAAAAAATACACTCTATAATTAATAACAAAATACTTATTTCTTTATGCTGTTTTAAATGTTTCTATGCTTCTGACTGGATCATATGTACATTTGTATTTTTAGGTATAATCTTCACTATGCACCTCAATATGCAGGAATATTATATATTAAAATCAATTTTGATAAACATTTGTTAAAATGAATTGATTTCAATGGAAACTAGTTAGCTTCAACTGCCCTCACAGTTCACTCAAAGAACAGTGGTAACCAGTCAGGGTTGGGCTCCATTCCATTTCAATTTCAGTCAATTCAGGAAGTACCAATTCTCTTCAATGCTCTTTAATGAGAACATTTGGAATTTGAATTTGGTTTACTCTCTGAATTGGCTGGAATTTAAATGGAATTGACACCAACCCTGTAGTCAATATAGTTAGCTAGTTTCTCATCAGTTATCGATGTTCAAAGGACCAAATTAGTAGTAGATAGTTAGACAAGGGCCGGGATTCAATCAAAGATGCGTTGTCGATAAGCTCACTGCACTTGAGTTTTATTAGGTAATTTACAAGGATCATTGTTGAGTGTTGACAGTTAAAATGTCAACACAGTGCTAGCTGTGCCACTAGAGATCCTGGTTCGAATCCAGGCTCTGTCGTAGCCGGCCGTGACCGGGAGACCCATGGGGCGGTGCACAATTGGCCCAGGGTAGGGGAGGGAATGGCAGGCAGGGATGTTGGTAGAGCATGGCGTTTGCAACGCCAGGGTTGTGGGTTCGATTCCCGTGGGGGGCCAGTATGAAATGAACAAAAAAAATAAAAAATATTATTTTAAAAAAATGTATGCACTCACTAACTATAAGAGCGTCTGCTAAATGACTAAAATGTAAATGTAATATAAATGTTGTTCGCTTATCACCAATGCTTCTTTAATTAAATCCCGTCTTTTAGCCAAGTGTATTGTAAATGGTAGCTTGCTGTCAATCTGGCCTCTGACCGCTGCTTCCTGAATAGACCAATCAAAATGGACATGCTTCCTGAATGGACCAATAAAAATGGACCTGCTTCCTGAATGGACCAATCAGAAACCAGACAGAGGGGTTCAAAAGTAGTGCACCACATAGGGAATAGGGTGCCATTTCAGACTCTTTGTATTCTTACCTGTGGCTTTCCTATTGAATGAACAGATTAATGAACAAAGGAATGAACCACTGGGTGAACGAGGGAGGGGTAGAATGGAACAGTAGAGGGAAGAAGGTGTATAAAGATGGAGTGATGGAATAATAAAGGAATGAACCACTGGGTGAACGAGGGATGGGTAGAATGGAACAGTAGAGGGAAGAACCACTGGGTGAACGAGGGATGGGTAGAATGGAACAGTAGAGGGAAGAAGGTGTATAAAGATGGAGTGATGGAATAATAAACAGATAAGTGGTATAAAGGCACTGAGGTGTGGTGGCTGCTCTTTTTGTTGCTGTTCATCATCACCCCCCCCCCCCCCCCCCCCCCCCCCCCCCCTCTCTCCCCCTCTCTCTTCTCTCTCCCTCTCTCTCTCTCTCTCCTCTCTCTCCCCTCATCTCTTCCCCTCCCCTCTCTCTCTCCCTCCCCCCTCTCTCGTCCTCCTCTCTCTCTCTCTCTTCTCTCACTCCTCACTTCTCTCTCCCCCGCCTCTCCCCTCACTCCCTCTCTTCCCCTCATCTTCCCCTCCTCTCCTCTTTCTCTACATCATCTCTCTCTCCCCCTATCCCCCATCTCTCCACCCCCTCTCTTCTCTCTCTCTCGCTCTCTCTCTCTTTCTACCCTCATCTCTCCCTCTCCCCTCATCTCTTCCCCTCCTCTCTCTCTCTCTCTCACTCTGTCACTCTCAATGAATGCATTCTCTGTAAATTACCTTTAAAAGGCACTGCTCTATAACACTCCTTGGATTGAATCGTGTCCCTAGTATGGAGCAGCTGACAGACACACCTAACAATGTATACTAATGATGATGATAGCCGGTTAAAGTGACATCATCCTACGTCTAACTTCAGGGTCATGTCCCCTAATCTTTTGAATGGGCTTGAAGATTATATCATCCAATTCGTGAAAACGTGGTTATTTAAGATAAATATCTAATTATATTTGTGTTTGTCGATTAATGTACTTATGCCAGATGCCTTTCATGAGGTTTTGCCTGAATACCATTGCATTACGTTTTTGCCCATTGGAGACCATTCAAAAAGCCTACAAAAGTTTAAAAAAATACAAGGCCACTTCATTGAAAATTACATGTCACTTTCTTAGGGTAATGCCACGTTCAAAACAACCAGGAACTCGAAATAAAACGAGCTCCGACTGGGTAAATTATTGTTGAATGGTCATCCAACTCGGAATTCCAAGTCGGAAACTCAGGCATCTTTCTAAATCTCTGACTTTACCACCTGAAGATCACTGACATCATGATTTTACCAAAAAAAATTCAGAGTTCCCAGTTAACTTGAAGGCACCATATGCAGCGGTCTCTGTGATAAAATATTATATCTGTTTTTGTCGAATTTACATCTGCCAGATGCCTTTCATTAAGTTTTTGAAGACCATTGCTGTACGTTTTTGCCACTTCCTGAAAAGTGTGTAACTTTCATAGGGTATACAGCAGTCTGTGTGTTTGTCGCTAGTGGGAAACAGCTGTCCAATCAGTACCTTATTAATCCTGGACCCTAGCCACAAACTGTCTCAGAGTAGGAGTTCTGATCTAGAATCAGTTAAACTTTTTAGATCATAATGAAGAAGATTAAATGGACCTGATCCTGGATCAGCACTACTACATTGACGTGTTTTGTGGATAAGGCCCCAGTTCTTGGTCCTATACAATAAAAGCACAACTACACCATTCCTCAAATCAAATGTGTAAACAAAACACAGGTATTAAAATCCCTAGCTGCCATGGCAACATGATGAAGAACGATCAAAGTACTTCTCCCTTCTTAGTTACAATCACAACCTTACAATCACAGACTGCATCCCAATTCTCCACCCAATGGTGGAAACTCTGGAGGGAGTTTCCCCCATTGGTAAATCCATGATGGGAAGTGTGCAAGGCAAGTGCACACTTGGGGAAAAGGGTAAAGGATTGGGGACCATAATTCGGCTCTGGCATTTCTAACAGGCCCACTTTTTATTTATTCTCTCATAACCCTGCTCCCTGATTGGCTGTGAGGAGGCTGAGTAGGCGTGTCTTTATGTACAGACCCGCCTCTTGTCATCGAATAGTCTGCAGACGGTATAGACCTGAGAGGAGGGACAGACGGACAGTTAGACACGCTGTGTGTGTGTGCTTCAATTATTATTAAGGAAAATAGGTGCCTATACAGCAATACAGCAGAGTAAAGCAGAACATTTTTATGTTTGTGTTTCTTAATCATCACAGTTAAAACCGGAGCGCAACATTTATCAGGTAAAGTCCACAGAGCATACTGTATAATATACTGTATATAACAGACAGTTGCATGACCTAGGCTACACAGCATGGTAACGCTATTGATCCAGGAGGACCACGGACAGTTTCCATCCGCACAGCCATCTCAAACAAAACAAGAGCGCGGGCCACCATTTCAGCACCATCAGCTGGCTGGACAGAGCCTCTCCAGCCGTCTCCAGCGGACCAGCGTTAGGCCTTATGCAGTGCATTAATTTATTACAAAAATTGTCATCATGGCTTACCTTTAAATGATTTCTTCCTCGTTTCCCGAGCAGCAAAATCTGCAACCATGTCCTTGAAATCAAGTGTCTTGAGTACATCATTCTCAAGAGCCATAAGAGTCAAATAGTTCAGTCTTTCCTGTCACTCTGTTTTTGACAAGAGTCAGCTTTGAAAAGGACCGCTCCCGATGCACTGGTAACAGGTAAAGTCAAGAATATTCGCAAGGCAATGTCAACATTGGGAAACACTGCAGTAGATTCCTCTGGCTCAACATGTGAAGCAATGCCCTGGCAGAAGTGTTTTTCTCACTTTTTATGTTCTTTAAACTAGACGATTTCATCTGGAAAATCATGTTGCAAGTTTGATAGATTTTTCCTCTGAAGGTTGTGTGAAGATGAATGTAGGTCTTGTGAGGAAAGTGAAGGCATATTGTTTAAAACATCCAAAGTAGTTATTTAGCTCTTTGTATGACTCATACCTCCTATCAAACTCAGCAATAAGTGTGTCAATCACAACAGTGAACACACCGACGGCAAATTTCTGCTGACCTGTCATTGATAAACGACAGTCAGGCTCTGTCTCTGACCACTCATCAGCATGTTTTTTTTCGTCTTCTCTTTTGTTGCGTGTCAGGGTTGTAAAGCGTTTAATGTCTAGCTAGTAATTTATTATGCTAACAAGCTAGCAAGAGGTTGCATAGCCACAGCCTAAAGGCATAGCGCTAGTACGCTCAAATGAAAGGATACCGTTCGTTTACAGTATACTAAAATCAACTAGTAGTACAGTGAGGGAAAAAAGTATTTGATCCCCTGCTGATTTTGTACGTTTGCCCACTGACAAAGAAATAATCAGTCTATAATTTTAATGGTAGGTTTATTTGAACAGTGAGAGACAGAATAACAACAACAAAATCCAGAAAAACGCATGTCAAAAATGTTATAAATTGATTGTCTTTGTCAGTGGGCAAACGTACAAAATCAGCAGGGGATCAAATACTTTTTTCACTCACTGTATATAGTATGTAGTATATACTCATTAAGTACAACATCTCTCAAATAGGCCACCAAACGAACAGCGTTAGACAGGTCCAGTTGGGCTGCCTGAAGTGCAGTGCTTGTATTCTGAAAACGTTGGACTATTGTGTTCCACGAGTTTCAGAGAAAAGCAATCTCAAAGTTTATCCATTTGGGTATAGAGCGTTAGAGCCTCGTAACGCGTGGCCAGATTGAGCAAATACTTCTCTTACTTTTTAACTCTGGGAATGGGCTCCGATGTAAGCATTTCACAGTTAGTCTACACCTGTTGTTTTTACGAACATGTGACAAATAAAATTAGATTAGATTTGACAGATACACGCACAAACATATACACACACGGTTCCACCTTTCAGATCCTTATTCACAACGTCCTCTAGAGATCATCATTTCATTACAATATGAATTAATATGTTCAATTGATAGTACAGTATCCCAATTGCCCGTCTTAAATTCCCTATCAAACTAAAATCAAATCTTTATTTGGAATGTAACACTTCATTGGCTTTTGATTTCCACCAGAATAACTAGGAAGACGTTAGCTCCTCAACACCGCGCGCCAGTGCACGAATAAGGTATTGAACTGCATGGAGCCTGTAATGCACTGTCATGCTAATCCAGGCCACATGGAGGCGCTATGGAGCTAGCCTTTAATGATACCATGCTCAACCCGGCCCCGGGGTAGTGCACCAATAAGGGGGTGCACTGCATGGTACAGCACCGTGTAGGTGAAGTTTCCCCTACACTCTAAAAATAAAAGGTTCCTGGAGTGTCCTTTAGGGGTTCTTCGAATTGAAACTTCTAGGGGTTCCCCTACAGTTATTTGAACAAAAACAACTTTAAAAGGGTTCTTATATAATATAATATATAATATGCCATTTAGCAGACGCTTTTATCCAAAGCGACTTACAGTCGTGCGTGCATACATTTTTTTTTGTGTGTATGGGTGGTCCCGGGGATCGAACCCACTACCTTGGCGTTACAAGCGCCGTGCTCTACCAGCTGAGCTACAGAGGACCACATTCTTAAAGAATCCCTTTTAATGGATCCTCAAATAACCTTTTGAAGAACCTTTTGAGGTTAATTTTTGAACTACCCCCCTCACCTATTATTATTATTATTAATAATACACATTACAATAACAATATTTTAGTTCTGTGTTTATTATGATTTGAGTTGCAAAACAGAATAAAAAAATCCAAAAAATGGGGTAAACTAACAGCAGAGCCCCAAGTCCAATGGGTATATCCTCTGGGATTTTTAGGTTAATGTGTTGATGTTCTCCGTATCCATAGCCAGAATGATTTTGCAGTGCATGGTGATTGAACAGGTTTCCTGTTATATTCATCAGAGCTGTAGGGAGGGTGAAGTCTGTAAATCCCCAAAATAGTAATTATACAGATGATTAACAAAACATGCACATGACAGTATTCATACCTTGGTTTTTGTGGTGAATGTGAATGAAAGAAAACTGTTTTGATAATGGTTTTCAAACACATACCTTGTCCATAATGTAGAGTCCTATGGGATATTCATTGAAGAGGTAAGGGAGGAGGATGGTTAATGTGATCTGCATAACATGCCAATACCAATTCACATACCTTTGTATGCCTCCTTGTCTGTATACCTGCAGACACAGACACGAAAGTGAGCAGTTCAGTCATCTGCAGCCAATACAGCAGCCTTCAACATATTCTTATAGCCTACATATTCTTACCTCTTTGTTGATTGATATCCATTGAATTATGTTCATTTTCTGTTTTAGAAAGATTTACACAAATATGAAAAGATAAATGGTATCATCATAAAACAATATCAATTTAGATCATACAAGGGACAACCCTTACCTTAAATGTTTGCACCTGCTGTCCTTTCAATCTGTTGGGCAGTTAGGTTCCTGCAAGAACCCCAACCAACTAAGGAAGTTCCTCGATGAACCCCACCATCTATGGAGTTCTTGGAAGAACCTTTTGGGGGCCATTTTCAGTGCCAAGAACCCTAAGGTTCTTTGAAGAACTTTGAGGATCTTAGAATAACCCTTGTTGAACCCCTCATTTTTAGAGTGTAGACACTGATCTGGGGTCAGTTTAGCATTTTCCCCACTAATGGTTAACAATTAGGTTAGAATTAGGGGAGGGGAAGCTGATGTAGCTCAGCTGGTAGAGCACGGCGCTTGTAACGCCAAGGTAGTGGGTTCGATCCCCGGGACCACCCATACACAAAAATGTATGCACGCATGACTGTAAGTCGCTTTGGATAAAAGCGTCTGCTAAATGGCATATTATTATTATTATTATCCTAGATCTGTACCAATGAGAAACTTCCCCCCCAGAGAGTGTGGAGCCTGTAATACCTGCTGCCATGCCACTCCTGGCCACACGGGGCGATGTGGAGCTAGCTTGGCTTGTTGTGTTTTCAGAGTGTTGTGCAGTTAGATGTGTGTGTGCAGTTGATGTGTGTGTGTGTGTGTGTGTGTGTTGTTAGATGTGTGAGATACTGTTTATGTTTCTGCTAATGTGTCTCTGGTTGCCCCTCAAGACAAGCTGCAGGTTGACACATGCATGCGGACACACACACACCTTGTGACTTAGTGGATGTCAAAGACTCACTTCCTTTTCCTGTATTATCCTGAAGGATTGTGGGATGCCTACCTGCTGCTTGTTTTGGTTTAGTAACAGATGCCAGTAAGAACTAACTGACTAAACAAAATGACTTTTTCTTCTCCCTCTATCTCTCTCTTTTATTTTATTTCACTGCTCCCCTACCTCTCTCCCCCTCTTTGTCTCTCATTATCACTTCCAGACTCCTCCCACTTCCCTGACCCCTCCCCATTTACATGACTCCTCCCACTTCCCTTGGGCTAAAGGAGATCCTAATCAAATCTAAATCAATCAATCTCCCCTCTCTCACTCAATGAATGAGTAAATTACCTTTAAAAAGCCACACTGTTAGCTGTCCAGTGCACTGCTCTATAACACTCCTTGGATTGAATCGTGTCCCTAGTAGCTGACAGACACGCCTAACAATGTATACTGCTGATGATGATGCCTTCTTGTTAATACTTTATTAAAGTGACATCATCCTACGTCTGACTTCAGGGTCATGTCCCCTAATCTCTTGGATGGGCTTGACGATTATATTATCAAATTAAATATATACGATTATATTTTGTCGATGAATTTACTTCTGCTAGATGTCTTTTATGAGGTATTTGCGCTGAATACCATTTAAAAAGCCTACAAAAGTAGAAAGAACTACAAGGCTACTTCCTGGAAAATGACGTGCAACTTTCATAGGGTATACAGCGGTCTGTATGTTTGTCATGATGTCGGTAGGCCACTAGAGGGCAACAGCTGTCCATTGCAATCAGTACCATTAATCCTGGGACAGTAAACACTAAGCATCTCAGAGTAGGAGTTCTGATCTAGGATCAGTTTTGCCTTTTAGATCTTAATGAATAAGATTAAATGGACAGGTTGGGACCTGATCCTAGATCAGAACTACTACTCTGAGGTGCTTTGTGGATACGGCCCCAAGGTCTGGTCCTATACAATAAAAGCACAACTACACCATTGCTTAAATCAAATGTTCTGTCTTTTATTGTGTAAAAAAAACCAACATTAAAATCACTGGCTGCCATGGCAACATGGTGAAGAACGATCACAGTGCTTCTCCCTTAGTTACAATCACAACCATACAATCACAGACTGTATCCCAATTCTCCACTGGACTCACACACTTTTTGTAATGGTTTTAAAAGCATTGGAACGGTGTTGTCATTGGCTGGAGGGAGTTCTAACCATTGTGAAATCCATGACTGGAAGTGTGCAAGGCAAGTGCACACTTGGGGGGGGGGGGGGGGGTGGAGGATTGGGACGTAACCAAAGCTTTAGGGTCAACGGTAAACTAGGTTCTCTGTAAAATGATTGATCCCCTGTACCGCAACTGAAATTAGATGGACATGTTCTCTCTCACACACACACACACACTCAAGGAAAACAAACAACAAACATGCCTGTTCATCTAGATATCAGCATGGAATCTTACTGGCACATAAAACTCAGTAACACCAAAAAAAACCTGGCCCTACAAGGTGATTGGCTACCCACACAGGTCACAAAGACATGGACCAATGACAGGAGAGGAGGGACATTAGGGGTTGGGTGAGGCTTGTTCTGGGAAAATAGGAGGACCCATAGAAATTCAATTACTAGAGTGATTTAAACCCAACGGGCACTTATGAGCGGATCACATCTTTAATGCATAGTGGGGAAATTATGATGACCGACTCAGGGGCGGACTGGGACCATAAATCAGCTCTGGCATTTCTAACACACTGGCCCATTTTTTTTCCTTGACGCCCCCATTACTAGCTAGATACTTTTTGTTGTTGTTGTGCAAAATGCTAATTAAGACCAGCCCATCTGGTAATTGGCCGAAATGTCAGTCCGCCCCTGGACTGACGGATCTACAGATGATGAGTCTCCCATTCTAGTCATTCTATTTCTATGGGATGACCTATAACAGAAAGCCTCTCAGAGTAGGAGGGATGGTCTAGGATCAGTTTGGCCTTTTAGATCATAATGAATAAGATTACATGGACTAGATTGAACTAGATTACTTCTTCCCCCACCCACCATAAAAAGGAAAAAAAAGAAGTAAAAAAGTGGTTGTCCCACTGGCTATCATAAGTTGAATGCACCAATTTGTAAGTGGCTCTGGATAAGAGCGTCTGCTAAATGATGTAAATGTAATGGACGGGTGGGGACCTGATCCTAGATCAGCACTTTGTGGATACGGTCCCAGAGCTGCGTTCAATACGCACAAACAGGGTGGGAAAATGTTTTCCGGAACACAAAGTGAACATTCTTATTGGACAAATTGGAGGCAGAACCTCTAAACGTTCTAAATGTTGTCTAGTTCTGTGTCTAATGAACACTGGGTTGAGCCCAAATGGCAAAGTTGTACCGCAGAATCCAAAACGGCACCCTATTCCCTAGATGGTGCACTACTTTTGACCAGAGATGAGCTCTAGGTAGGGAATAGGGTGCAATTTGTGACGCAGAATACTTCTTCTGTATCCTCCTCTGCTTCATTCCTCTCTTCCTCCCATAACCCTGCTCCCTGATTGGCTGTGAGGAGGCGGAGTGGACGTGTCTTTATGTATAAACACGCCTCTTATCGTCAAACAGTCTGCGGACGGTATAGACCTGAGAGAGGAGGGACTGACAGTTAGACACTGGGTGATAATGTTACCTGAGTGAGTGTGACTACACTAGTATAACTAGTGTGTGTAAACCAGTGTGTATAACCAGTGTGTATAACCAGTGTGTATAACCAGTGTGTATAACCAGTGTGTATAACCAGTGTGTATAACCAGTGTGTATTACCAGTGTGTATAACCAGTGTGTATAACCAGTGTGTATAACCAGTGTGTATAACCAGTGTGTATAACCAGTGTGTATAACCAGTGTGTATAACCAGTGTGTATAACTAGTGTGTATAACTAGTGTGTATAACTAGTGTGTATAACCAGTGTGTATAACTAGTGTGTATAACCAGTGTGTATAACCAGTGTGTATAACCAGTGTGTATAACCAGTGTGTATAACCAGTGTGTATAACCAGTGTGTATAACCAGTGTGTATTACCAGTGTGTATAACCAGTGTGTATAACCAGTGTGTATAACCAGTGTGTATAACCAGTGTGTATAACCAGTGTGTATAACTAGTGTGTATAACCAGTGTGTATAACTAGTGTGTATAACTAGTGTGTATAACTAGTGTGTATTACCAGTGTGTATTACCAGTGTGTATAACCAGTGTGTATAACCAGTGTGTATAACTAGTGTGTATAACCAGTGTGTATAACTAATGTGTATAACTAGTGTGTATAACTAGTGTGTCTACAGGTTGTCCTAGTGTATAACCTGTGAGTGCAACCCCCATCATAACTACAGACCTGAAAACTGAGTTTAAATGTATTTGGCTAAGGTGTATGTAAACTTCCGACTTCAACTGTATGTTTAATTGCAAATCAGGGCTCTCCCTAGGATTCTGATAAGGCGGTGCTGATGCAGGCTTAAGGTTGGGTAGGGGAAGTTCTGGGTCAGTAACCCCCTCAGGAAGTTGGAGCATTTCCAGTTTTGAAAAAGCTGTAACTACCATTTCCTGAAACCTAAAGTCTAAAATTATATCAAACAATGTAGCCAACACAGAAGTCTGGTGTTTGATCCTAAATAAACATTTGAGGTGGTCTCAATGACACTTTCACATTTAGTGAAAATGTTAACTGTCTTTTTCATTTTGTTTGGGAACAAAATTCAGAATAATTACTGGATGCAATGTAGTGGTCTATCTTACTGTAGGCTATCTGGAATATGAAACAACTGAACTAGACCTATAGGAGCTGGTTTCAGATCTCCATCCCTGACCTCATCCATCAGGTCAGGTCTGACTACTAGGCTGCCATTCATTCTACATGCCTTGTTGTCATTGAACTGACTATTATGACATCATACTGTTGACATACATATGAAACGCCACCTAAACCCCACCTCTGACCACCCCACCTCTGAACACCCCACCGCTGAACCACCCCACCGCTGAACCACCCCACCGCTGAACCACCCCACCGCTGAACTACCCCACCTGAACCACCCACCCGAACCACCGCACTCTTGAACCACCCACTCTGAACACACCACCCCACCGCTGAACACCCACCGCTGAACCACCCCACCGCTGAACCACCCCACCGCTGAACCACCCCACCGCTGAACCACCCCACCGCTGAACCACCACCACCGCTGAACCACCCACCGCTGAACCACCCCACCTCTGAACCACCCCACCGCCCACCCCACCGCTGAACCACCGCACCGCTGAACCACCCCACCGCTGAACCACCACTGAACCACCCCACCGCTGAACCACCCCACCGCTGAACCACCCCACCTCTGAACCACCGCACCGCTGAACCACCCACCGCTGAACCACCCCACCGCTGAACCACCGCACCGCTGAACCACCCCACCGCTGAACCACTGCACCGCTGAACCACCCACGCTGAACCACCGCACCGCTGAACGTGTTTCCTTGCTAGTCGAACTCGCGCCTACTACAGTTCTGGAGATCAAGCTAGAGATTTTTACCTCACCCAAGTCCTCTGATTGGCTCAGCTTCAATTTCAAAGCAGTTGAGTCAAAAACCTCAATGTGCCAACTAGTTTTTCGTACCAGCGTACTTTGACCTGAAATGTCATCTATGTTGGCAGGTCTGTAACTAGGAGACTGGTACAGGACCAGAAGGAGACCCTCCACAAGTTGTCCTAGTGTGTGGGTGTGTTACCTGAGTGAGTGCGACCCCCAGCATTACAATGAGACTGGTACAGGACCAGAAGGAAACTCTCCACAGGTTGTCTTCTAGCAGGTTACGGTCCCTGGCCTCGAACGCTCTCAGTACCGTCTGCATCTGACGACTTCTCTCTAACCGACGGTGTACTGAGTCTATTGACTCCTGGAGGGGAGGGGAGAGAGGAGTGTGGGGGAGAGGAGTGTGGGGAGAGAGGAGGGAGGGGAGAGAGGAGGATGGGGAGAGAGGAGGGGGGGGAGAGAGGAGGGGGGAGAGAGGGGAGAGAGAGGAGGATGGGTGAGAGAGAGGGGAGAGAGGAGGGGGGAGAGAGGAGGGGGGAAAGGAGAGGGTGATGGTGAAGAGAGGAAGAGAGAGAGAGGGGAATTAGAAAAGAGGAAAGGTACTGTGTATATCCAGAATTTATTTTTACAGTTTTTTTCTCTTTAGTTACAGTGAATGTGTTGAAGACATGGTGATCCATTCAACAGCCTACTCACCCTAATGTCCTCCAGCTTGTACTCCAATAGGCTCTCAGGCTCACCAAGCCCCGCCCACTCGTCGTCGCCGCCGCCCACGTCGCCCGGCTGTCCCTCAATGATGACCTGCATTTACACACACACACACAATTTACATTTTATTCAATTAGCAGATGCTCTTATCCAGAGCGACTTACAGTAAATCAATCAACCAATTAATAAGGATATATTAATACAAATAAACCTCAAAGAAGACCATCTTCTCAGAGAAGCGGCTGAAGCTGTTGTCAAAACAGATCTGGTAGTCTCCTTCCTCCGTAGGTTCCACCCTTGAACAAAACAACCAATCAGAGGCGTTGATACACAAAACAACCAATCAGAGGCGTTGATACAGACAAAACAACCAATCAGAGGCGTTGATACAGACGAAGCAACCAATCAGAGATGTGGGTATAAAGCAAACCAAAAACAGAGGGAAGGGGAGAGAGCGAGGTCAAAAGACAGGTTGATCTGAGGTTGAACTGTGACATCACGGAACTAGAGAAATAGACCAATCGCAGAACTAGAAGAGATATCGTGTGAGTAGATTGGACCAATGAGTGGCAGCGGTACTGACATGTGGACTCCGTCTGAGCGGCGGAACTCAGAGATGAGCTGGAACCCGTGAGGAGAGAGAACGGTGAAGTCTACATCCATACCTGCACCTGCTATCACCTGGAGAGTGGAACACACACACACCAGAAAGGTACTTTTACAACAGCCATAGATAAGAATCACACTGCACGTCAGAAAGCTAGGTTATGAAACATGATGTGTGATAATGTTACCCGAGTGAAACAGGATGTGTACTCAGTGACGTGGACCCTTCTGAATGTTGCCGGTAGAAATAGAATGAATAGAGCTGACAGGATCCCCCTTATTCTCTCTGACAGACAATCATTTCTATCTGAATGTTCTGTAACTACATTCTCCTGAGAAGCCATTGGGGCTCTGGTCACAAGTAGTGCACTACGTGGGGAATAAGGTGCCATTTGGGATGCGGGCCGATCCCCTGTCATGTAGGCCTACTCTCTGCACCATAATGGAGGAACTAGGTTCTCTGTCAACTGTTTCTATGTCTCCTGTATCGCAACTGAAACTGCTCACTCTCACACACGCCATTACTCAAGGAAAACAAAACAGAAACATGCCTGTTCTTCTAGATATATCTGAATAGAATCTTACTGGCACATAAAACCCATTACACACGCGTGTATTTCTATATGAACAGTCTGACGTTACAGGCCAAGGTTGTATGTCATAACGTTCAGCCCTTCACTAGTGCTGAACACACACCTGCCAGAGAGAGGTTACACGTCACACACACAGACAACTGCTTGAGATGAATAGGTGCCAAGCTGCCTGTAAACTCCATTTGAGGGACTCTCCCACTGAACAAACAGAGGCTAGAGCTGCCTGCGTCCCAATACTCTCTACTCCAGATCTGTTTCTGCTCTCTTGTCAACTCCTTGTGGAATTGTCATGCTTGACCATGACAATAGAGTAGGCAAACGCACAAACAGATCTGGGATCAAGCTATACTACCCTCTGTGGATGGCCTGGGACAGACAGGCTAAGAAACATATTGATGGATATGACCTAATTGATAGAGTTGTTAGAGCAGTTTGTGTCTAGATGTAGGTGAAGTGGTAGAATATGATGTATATACATTACAGGGTAGGATGTACAGTACCAGTCTTAAGTTTGGACACACCTACACATTCAAGGGTTTTTCTACATTGTAGAATAATAGTGAAGACATCAACACTATGAAATAACACATATGGAATCATGTAGTAACCAAAAAAAAAGTGTTAAACAAATCAAAATAAATTGTATATTTTAGATTATTTAAAGTAGCCACCCTTTGCCTTGATGACAGCTTTGCACACTCTTGGCATTCTCTCAACCAGCTTCATGAGGTAGTCACCTGGAATGCATTTCAATTAACAGGTGTGCCTTCTTAAAACTTAATTTGTGGAATTGATTTCCTTCTTAATGCGTTTGAGCCAATCAGTTGTGTTGTGACATGGTAGGGGGGTATACAGAAGATAGCCCTAGTTGGTAAAAGACCAAGTCCATATTATGGCAAGAACAGCTCAAATAAGCAAAGAGAAACGACAGTCCATCATTACTTTAAGACATGAAGGTCAGTCAATACAGAACATTTCAAGAACTTTGAAAGGTTCTTCTTCAAGTGCAGTCGCAAAAACCATCAAGCGCTATGATGAAACTGGCTCTCATGAGGACCGCCACAGGAATGGAAGACCCAGAGTTACCTCTGCTGCAGAGGATAAGTTCATTAGAGTTACCAGCCTCAGAAATTGCAGCCCAAATAAATGCTTCAGAGAGTTCAAGTAACGGACACATCAACATCAACTGTTCAGAGGAGACTGTGTGAATCAGGCCTTTATGGTCGAATTGTTGCAAAGAAACCACTACTAAAGGACACCACTACTCAAGGACACCAATAAGAAGAAGACACTAGCTTGGGCCAAGAAACACGAGCAATGGACATTAGACTGGTGGAAATGTGTCCTTTGGTCAGGAGCCGTGTCTTTGTGAGACGCAGTGTGGGTGAACGGATGATCTCTGCATGTGTATTTCCCACCGTAAAGCATGGAGGAGGAGGTGTGATGGTGTGTGAGTACTTTGCTGGTGACACTGTCAGTGATTTTATTTAAAATTCAAAGCACACTTAACCAGCATGGCTACCACAGCATTCTGCAGCGATACGCCATCCCATCAGGTTTGCGCTTAGTGGGACTATCATTGTTTTTTCAACAGGACAATGATCCAAAACACACCTCCAGGCTGTGTAAGGGCTATTTTACCAAGAAGGAGAGTGATGGAGTGCTGCATCAGATGACCTGGCCTCCACAATCCCCCGACCTCAACCCAATTGAGATGGTTTGGGATGAGGAAAAGCAGCCAACAAGTGCTCAGCATATGTGGGAACTCCTTCAAGATTGTTGGAAAAACATTCCAGGTGAAGCTGGTTGAGAGACTGCCAAGATTGTGCAAAGCTGTCAAGGCAAATGGTTGCTATTTGAAGAATCTCAAATATAAAATAGATTTTGTATTTTGATATGTGTTATTTCATAGTTTGGATGTCTTCACTAATATTCTACAATGTAAAAATAAAGAAAAACCCTTGAATGAGTAGGTGTCCAAACTTTTGACTGGTAGTGTATGTTTAACACTTACACTGGCTGAATCTCTGCAACGTGGAAGGAGAGAGATGGAGACATTCATAAAACAGTAGCTAACGAGCAAATGTACCCTTCTCTTTCTCCTCTGGGAGGTTATAGCTATATGGTTCACTTGCATCATACTAAAAGTTAGGCTATAGCCAGGGATAGTGGGGAAACCACTGCAAAACAGCATCCTTGCTTGTAAGACTTCAGTTAGCCTATCTCGTGCGTGGCCTGGGTCAAGTGTCCTACACAGCATAAATGATTAAGTGCACAACAAGATTGCTACAGCAGCAAGCTATCTCGTTAACTAGCGAGCTAGATAGATAGATAACGTTATCGGTGGCGACTAGCTTGCTACTGTAGTTAGCCACCTCGGGAGGCGAACTGAGAATAGCATCATTGTAACAGCTAGCCTTTCTGGGACTGTATCGTGTTTACATTAGCTAACGTTACAAGCCTGCTACTAGCTACTTCTGTGTTGCGAACTTATGTTGCTCGCCACTGCACAAACTAGATAGCTAACCAACTAGTTAGCTGTTAGTTTACCTGATACTCTACTTCCATGGTAACGTTCTTCGCAGTCGTTTGGAAAAAGCATTCGGTTCTTCCGGCTGGTAAGAGAAACGTGAATTCGCTATCTTGGCTATGGCCGAAAGCACGAATTGTTTCAAGACATGTTGCTACAAATAACGCAATGAAAACACATGTTGTGCTGCCTCGTCCTGCTTTCTGAAGAGTGCCCATGACGATAAATTAATTTGCTTCCTCAATGTGTTGAAATATTATAGATAGCTACGTTATCATCCTGGCTAGCTAGCTGATTTGCTAACTTTCAATAGCATAATTTTATCTTCCGCAGCAGCTATTGAACTTTTCCGATCAGACGATTGGCTAGAATCTCCGAATGACTGAATCACTGTGAGACCAATCAGGAGATAGAGAGTGGCCCGTGTTCCTCCAATCGTTGAGGTGGAATCCTTGCTGGGGGTCGTTCAATCTTTTGTTTCTAAATACGTTTTGTAAATGTGTAAGTAATAAACTACGTTTTGTAAATGTGTAAGTAATAAACTACGTTTTGTGCCTACCCAAAAAAAGGGGTTAAAAATGTGCCATTTATGAATGTTATTCAATGATTTTCTATGGGATTTAGGAGTAAAGGCCAAAATCAATATTTTATCAAATATTTTTTGTATATATTTTTTTTATAACTAAAGGGGTCCTAAAATTCAAAATCAAAAAGCTAAATGATCCATAGTATAACCATCTTAAAACAATTCCATATATCAGATTAGCACCTCCCTCCCCCAACGTCTTAGAACTTGTAAATTCATGAGTTGAAATAAATTGTATACATAAGCTAAGTTGGAGCCTACTAAACACGGACAGAAGCCCTTCTTTGCTCTTCATTTTAAAAGCCTATATTAAAACTTTTTTTTGTTAAAAATCGATTTTGATGTTGTAAACAGATGTTGCTAACATAATCCAATAATAACACATGCTTAGGCCTATTTAACTTGGATAATTTATTAGCGGAAACATTTGCATGGTTGCTCATGTAGATGGCAGAAAATCAACGTCATTTGTGGCTTCTCACTGGGCACACTGTCATTTCAATGAAATTACGTTAAACCAACGTGGAATATACGTTGAATTGACTTCTGTGCCCAGTGGGTTCTGACTCATTCTGAGACAGTAAAGGCCTGTCTCAAACGGCACCCTATTCCCTATATAGTTCACTACGTTTGACCAGGGACCATAGTTAAAAGTAGCGCACTGCATACAGGGAATAGGGTGCCATTTTGGGATTCAGACTAAATATCATCAAGCCTCAGCAACTTTGACAAGGACAGAGAGAGTTCTAGTAGCCAGTAATGGACCAGAGGCTGTCCTAGTTCTAGTACTGTACCGGACCAGAGCCTGTCCTAGTTCTAGTACTGTACCGGACCAGAGCCTGTCCTAGTTCTAGTACTGTACCGGACCAGAGCCTGTCCTAGTTCTAGTACTGTAATGGACCAGAGGCTGTCCTAGTTCTAGTACTGTACCGGACCAGAGCCTGTCCTATTTCTAGTACTGTACCGGACCAGAGCCTGTCCTAGTTCTAGTACTGTACCGGACCAGAGCCTGTCCTAGTTCTAGTACTGTAGTGGACCAGAGCCTGTCCTAGTTCTAGTACTGTAGTGGACCAGAGGCTGTCCTAGTTCTAGTACTGTAGTGGACCAGAGCCTGTCCTAGTTCTAGTACTGTACCGGATCAGAGCCTGTCCTAGTTCTAGTACTGTACCGGACCAGAGGCTGTCCTAGTTCTAGTACTGTACCGGACCAGAGCCTGTCCTAGTTCTAGTACTGTAGTGGACCAGAGGCTGTCCTAGTTCTAGTACTGTAGTGGACCAGAGCCTGTCCTAGTTCTAGTACTGTACCGGACCAGAGGCTGTCCTAGTTCTAGTACTGTACCGGACCAGAGCCTGTCCTAGTTCTAGTACTGTAGTGGACCAGAGCCTGTCCTAGTTCTAGTACTGTAGTGAACCAGAGCCTGTCCTAGTTCTAGTACTGTACCGGACCAGAGCCTGTCCTAGTTCTAGTACTGTAGTGGACCAGAGCCTGTCCTAGTTCTAGTACTGTAGTGGACCAGAGCCTGTCCTAGTTCTAGTACTGTACCGGACCAGAGGCTGTCCTAGTTCTAGTACTGTACCGGACCAGAGCCTGTCCTAGTTCTAGTACTGTAGTGGACCAGAGCCTGTCCTAGTTTCTAGTACTGTAGTGAACCAGAGCCTGTCCTAGTTCTAGTACTGTACCGGACCAGAGCCTGTCCTAGTTCTAGTACTGTACCGGACCAGAGCCTGTCCTAGTTCTAGTACTGTAGTGGACCAGAGCCTGTCCTAGTTCTAGTACTGTACCGGACCAGAGGCTGTCCTAGTTCTAGTACTGTACCGGACCAGAGCCTGTCCTAGTTCTAGTACTGTACGGGACCAGAGCCTGTCCTAGTTCTAGTACTGTAGTGGACCAGAGCCTGTCCTAGTTCTAGTACTGTACCGGACCAGAGCCTGTCCTAGTTCTAGTACTGTACCGGACCAGAGCCGTCCTAGTCTAGTACTGTGACCGGACCATAAGCCTATCTAGTACTGTATGTCCAGAGCCTGTCCTAGTTCTAGTACTGTACCGGACCAGAGCCTGTCCTAGTTCTAGTACTGTACCGGACCAGAGCCTGTCCTAGTTCTAGTACTGTACTGGACCAGAGCCTGTCCTAGTTCTAGTACTGTACCGGACCAGAGCCTGTCCTAGTTCTAGTACTGTAGTGGACCAGAGCCTGTCCTAGTTCTAGTACTGTACCGGACCAGAGCCTGTCCTAGTTCTAGTACTGTACCGGACCAGAGCCTGTCCTAGTTCTAGTACTGTACCGGACCAGAGCCTGTCCTAGTCCTAGTACTGTACCGGACCAGAGCCTGTCCTAGTTCTAGTACTGTACCGGACCAGAGCCTGTCCTAGTTCTAGATACTGTACCGGACCAGAGCCTGTCCTAGTCTAGTATGTACGGACCAGTAGCGCTGTCCTAGTTCTAGTACTGTACCGGACCAGAGCCTGTCCCGGACCAGAGCCTGTCCTAGTTCTAGTACTGTACCGGACCAGAGCTGTCCTACACTCTTCCTCCTATACTCTTCTATCTTCTGTCATAAAGCATTTAGTCCTAATTCCTGCTGTATGGCGAGGTGTTGTGACATCTCTCTTGACCGCAGAGTAGTGTGTGTGTGTTAGCAAATACGGTTAGTGTTGGTGTCTGTGATGTTCCAGGAGAAAAAGCCACAGAGGTCGACCACACACACACACACACACACACACACACACACACACACACACACTGATACAAACACATAAAATCAGACACACACATACAAAATCACACACACAAAATCACACACACAAAATGACACATGCATGCGCACCCTCACACTTTCACTCTCCCCACCACCTCTCTCTGTGTCTCTCTCTCTCTCTGTATGTCTCTCTCTCTCTCTCTCTCTCTCTCTCTCTCTCTCTCTCTCTCCTCTCTCTCCTCTCTCCTCTCTCTCTCTCTCTCTCTCTCTCTCTCTCTCTCTCTCTCTAAGCATATTTTCATCTTACCCACAGTGCACTGGGCCTGTAACTGTATCCTCAGTGAGTGTGTGCAGGCCTTCCTGTTACCGTCTATCACCAGTGCCATGAAAACCAGTGTGTGTTCATGATATAGGAGTACACACGCATGCCTCCACACACTACTGAAGGTATTATTCAACGGGTCTCCTTCAATTTCTCTGCACTGTTTAGTCTGTAATATCAATAAATATCAATGTAAATGTTTAGTCTGTAATATCAATAAATATCAATGTAAATGTTTAGTCTGTAATATCACTAAATATCAATGTAAATGTTTAGTCTGTAATATCAATAAATATCAATGTAAATGTTTAGTCTGTAATATCACTAAATATCAATGTAAATGTTTAGTCTGTAATATCAATACATATCAATGTAAATGTTTAGTCTGTAATATCAATATAAACGTCAGCATGTAAGGTAGGACCTCTAGTTCTGTAGAGAGGAGGAGGGAGAGATAGGTGAGGAGAGGGGGTAAGAGGGGGAAATGAAGATAAAGAGAGAGAGAGAGGGAGGGCAGGGGGGAGAGAGAGAGAGAGAGAGAGAGAGAGGGAGAGAGAGAAGAGGAGCGAGAGAGGAGAGAGAGAGGAGAGAGAGAGAGAGAGAGAGAGAGAGAGAGAGAGGAAGTGTCAGCTGAGGGATGATAACCGCACTGAGAAGGGCGTGCCGGGTTTACACACACACACACACACACACACACACACACACACACACACACACACACACACACACACACACACACACAACACACACACAGTACACACACACACACACAATACACACACACACACAGTACACACACACACACACAGTAAACAAACACACATACACGTCCTCTTCTGCATTTCCTCATTGCACATGCTCAGTGTGCTACTAGTTCAGACGTACACATGACAGACTGACTGACAGACTGACAGACGGACAGACAGACAGACGGGCGGGGAGAAGAAACAAACAAGAGAAGAGAGAGAGGAGAGGAACCACACGTTTACCAGTTCTCTGAAACTTGACTTCTAAATAGGTGAAACAATGTCTACATCATAGAACTAGACTATCATTCTATTCTCATTCTAGTTCTATGTTCTACAGTACAGACACAGGTTGTCTTAGAACCCTGGCATTACTTCTAGAATGTTTGTTATTAGAATTCTTAGAGTTGACCACAGACATCTTAAGTAATTGCTAGCTAAAAAACATTCTGTGCAGATGAATCTACAAATGTTTTATTTGACAAAATATTTTATCACATTTGATGAGTTATTCGATCACAGTTTTCCTTTACCTGATGCATCATATTCAGGCATGTTGCTAGGATCCCAAATGCAATGCCCATTCTAGAGTTGTAATAAGCCATTGAATGGACCTGACCATTCTGTATAGGAAATTCAGATGAACCGATTGCTGTTGTTGTTATCTCTTCTGTGTTCAACAATGCCAATATCTACTGGTTCTTCACTCTTCTGTTCTCCCTGAAGAGAAACCAGACGTTGTTTTGTGATTGGCTGGTCTGTTGCGCTGAGATTGAGGAGAAGTGACTGCCCTATTCTCTAACCACTGATTGTGAGAGAAACTGTGTGGATTTTGTCTCAACTATCTGGGCTGTTCAGAGGTGAAGAGCAGAGAGGAGTCTGCCCGTCTACTTGGACCGTCAACACATCAATCAATCAAACAATAGATTTATTGATCTATCGACTGACCAACCTACCCTGCTCATTGAGTGCCCCCCTGTGGACCTCCATTCATCCATCCGTCCGTCCAGACTGGCCCTCTCTCCCACCCATTCTTGCCCAGGGAAAAGTGAGGTTGAGGAGGATGGCTGAGGGGCATGTTGGGCCCTACCCCCAGGTGTTCGTGGTGGACAGCCAGGCGAGCCACGTCCCCATGCCCAGTGGGAGGCACCTTAGGTGGGGAGGGATCGGCCGGAGAGCCCTTCAGCTCCTGGTGGGTCTTGCGCTGGTCGGGATCGTCATGGAAGCCTGCTTTATCGTGCACTTGTACAACAGGACAGGGGTGAGTGAGGGTGTATGTGTGTGTGTGGGCAAGCCTCGGTCTGTCCCCGAGCATCTCAAGGGGAATTCCTTGTCTGAATCTAGACTCTCCCCCACACTGTCACTGTGCATCACAACACACTTTAAAAGAGCCTTGTCACATACACACACACACACACACACAAAAAACAAAAACACATGCACACACACATGCAAATTCTATATGTTGTGTTTCTGTGCTTCTGACACTCAGAGGACAAACACTTCCTGTAACTAGTATTGGTTGCAGTGTGAAATCACATCCTCCTCTTCCTCCCTTTCTCTCTCTCTTTCTCTCTGTCTCTCTCTCTCGCGCGCACTCTCTCTCTCCCTCTCTCTCTCCCTCTCCCTCTCTCTCTCTTTCTCTCAATCCCTCTCTCTCTCTGTCTCTCTTTCTCCATATCTCAATGTCTCTCTCTGTCTCTTTCTCTCTCTCCACCCCCCCCCCCATCTCTGTCTCTCTCTCTCTCAATTTCTTTCTCCCCCTTTTCTCCCTCTCTCTCTCTCTAGGCCCTGATGAATGCTCAATCCTTTATCCAGAGGGTAAGTGAAGTGTATATAGTACAAATGCTGTGTGTGTGTGTGCCTGTGTGTGTGTGTGTGCATGCATACGTGTGTGTGCATGTGTACGTGTGTGTGTGTGTGTGTGTGTGTGTGTGTGTGTGTGTGTGTGTGTGTGTGTGTGTGCATGTGTACGTGTGTGTGTGTGTGTGTGCATGTGTACGTGTGTGTGTGTGTATGTGTCAGAGTCTCAGGCTAAAACACACTATCTGTTTCAGAGTGGCTCAGCTCAGGGTCTGACTGGATCTGAAGGTACACTTTATTCTCCTCTCTCTCTCTCTCTCTCTCTCTCTCTCCTCTCTCTCTCTCTCTCTCTCTCTCTCGCTCTCTCTCTCCTCTCTCTCTCTCTCTCTCTCTCTCTCTCTCTCTCTCTCTCTCTCTCTCTCTCTCTCTCTCTCTCTCTCTCTCTCTCTCTCTCTCTCTCTCTCTCTCTCTCTCTCTCTCTCTCTCTCTCTCTCTCTCTCTAGTACATAGAATCATGTATACAGGAACAACACTACTGCTGTTGTATTGTGGAATCTTCAGTACATACATTTAATTAAATAAAAAGAATATGAATGGTTAATAAATAAACAACAACATCTACATGTATGATGTTTACACTATGTATTACTGTCAGTTATATACAATGGTCATGGGATGTCCCTCAGGATATGGCAGTCGTAAACATATCTGGCAGTAATATTTGCAGTTTCTCCCTCACCCAGAATAATTCCCAGCCTTATGTCATTAGTAAATGCAGAGAATCTGGGAATTGATTGAGATATTTTCTTGAAAGAAGATTATCCTATTTGGGAGTATTTCTCACAGTAGAGGAAAAAGTGCATCTCTGTCTCTACCTCCCCTGTCGTGCAGTGACCACATAGACTCCTCTCTGGGTGTCCGTGTCTTTCTCCCTTATTCTGTAGCCAATAGGTGGCTGAGCCTGTACTTGGTCAGCATCTGTCTCTGTTTTGGATCTCTGACAGAGTAGAGATATTCTGCCAATGTGTATTCTCTTTTGAGGGCCAAATAGCAATTTAGTTCATTCTATGTTTTTGATTCATTTTCCCAATTTGTCAAACAGGAGGTTTTTCTTTATCAATTTAATTGATTTCCCTGTGTGTTTGGATAATAGGTTTGTTTTCTGGGTTCAGCTCTTGGGTTTCCAGTGCTTTGAATTGTAAGAATGTTTTGGGACTTAATTTCAGATGGCGCCAAAATTGTACTGTCCTTTTCTTAATATTTACAATGAAAGGGAATCGCCCGAGTTCCGCTCTGAATACATTATGTGGTACTTTCTTTTGGATATTTAGGATAATTCTGCAGAATTCGGTATGTAGATTTTCAATTGGGTTTTTCTCTTGATAAAATTACTATTGAAGGTTTTGCACCAGATGTTCTTCTTATGGAGTAAAGTGCTTGGTGGTTTTTTCATTTACTGGCACTGATAGTTAGTCCCAGGTAGATGTATCATTGGACATGTTCAACCATGGTGAAGGAGTGTCTGCTGCTCTGATAGTTAGTCCCAGGTAGATGTATCATTGGACATGTTCAACCATGGTGAAGGAGTGTCTGCTTCTCTGATTCCTGGCCCTTTTCTGGGAAATCATGACCTTGGTTTTCTGAAAGTTGATGTTGATTGCTCTCTCTCTCTCTCTCTCTCTCTCTCTCTCTCTCTCTCTCTCTCTCTCTCTCTCTCTCTCTCTCTCTCTCTCTCTCTCTCTCTCTCTCTCTCTCTCTCTCTCTCTCTCTCTCTCAGTCTCTCTCGCTCTCTCTCTCTCTCTTTCTCTCTCTACCTATCTTTCTTTCTCCCTCCCTCTTTCTCTCTATCGCCCTCCCCCCACTCTCTCTCTCTCTCATGACATCATTTCCTGTCCCCTGACACAGAGACCAATGACATTTTAGTCGAGCATACGAGGAGGACACGCCCAGCTGAAATCCAACGGAAACCCTCAGCACACTTGATAGGTACAGTACAGCTTCTCAACACACACACATGCACGCACACACACGCATGCACGCACACACACACACACACACAAACACACAAACACACACACACACTTAACCAGCAATATCTGCTCTCTTCACTCCCCCTCTGCCCCATATCTTTCTCTCCCCCATTCCCCCATCTCTCTCCCCTTCCCCTTACTCTCCCTCACTCTGCCCCCTCCTTCCTTCTGCCCCCCCTCCCTCCCTCCCCTCCCCTCCCCGCTCCCTCCACCAGGCCTGTCAGTGGGTGAGGATAGTGTCGTTCTGTGGGAATCAGATAAGGGCCTGTCTGCCTTCACAGATCAGATGGACTACAAAGATGGCCACCTGGTGGCACAGAGGGAAGGTTACTACTATGTGTACTCCAAAGTGCACTTCGTTGAAGACTGCTTTCTGTTCAAACACACGGTGATGAGGATCACAGAGGGTTACAAAAACAAACCACTTGTGTTGATGAAAGCTAACAGGTCAGTGAGTGTGTGTGAGGTGGTGGTCAGGGGGTGGGGAGGGGGGGGGGGGATAGGGCTCCATTTGGGATGCAACCTAAGTGTCTATCTGCCTCTCCGTTAGGTACCATTGCCCTTCCAAGGATTCCAGACCAAAGAAGAGTTCTCATCAGAATCTTCTGAACAGCTACCTGGGCGGAGTCTTCCAACTGTTGCCTGGAGACATCATCTATGTAACCGTTAAAAACAGGACGCTGCTGAGACTTGGAACTGAAGATAATTTCATGGGGGCATTCATGATTTAGGAGACAGTGTGTATTGACACACACATATGGGCAGGCACGCATACATTTGTCAATCAGATTTGTGTGTCAGTTATATTATTTCAACGTATAGATTCTAACCATCCATGGATTAAGGCGGGAATTCAATCCAAGGTGTGTTATAGGGAATCACACTAGAAAGCAGACAATGGCCTTTTTAAAGGTATTTTAATCTTGAGTCAACATCTGCAGCTTTTACCGCGAATGCCTCCTCTGCAAACGGCAGGGAAAATAACTTTAAAACATGCATTGTCTAGTTCAGTGTTTCTCAGTTCTGGTCCTGGGGACCCAAAGGGGTGCACTTCATAGTTTCATAGTTTTGATGTCTTCACTATTATTCTACAATGTAAAAAATAGTAAAAATAAAGAAAAACCCTTGAATGAGTAGATGTGTCCAAACTTTTGACTGGTAGTTTGTGTATATATATATATATATATATATATACACAGTTGAAGTCAGAAGTTTACATACACTTGTCCTCTGGTCTGATGAAACATAAAAAAGAACTATTTGGCCATAATGACCATCGTTATGTTTGGAGGAAAAAGGGGGGTGGCTTGCAAGCCGAAGAACACCATCCCAACCGTGAAGCACGGGGGTGGCAGCATAATGCTGTGGGGGTGCTTTGCTGCGGGAGGGACTGGTGCACTTCACAAAATAGATGGCATCATGAGGAAGGAAAATGATTGGATATATTGAAGCAACATCTCAAGACATTAGTCAGGAAGTTAAAGCTTGGTCGCAAATGGGTCTTCCAAATGGACAATGACCCCAAGCATACTTCCAAAGTTGTGGCAAAATGGCTTAAGGACAACAAGGTCAAGCCCTGACCTCAATCCTATAGAAAATGTGTGGGCAGAACTGAAAAAGCGTGTGCGAGCAAGGAGGCCTACTAACCTGACTCAGTTACACCAGCTCTGTCAGGAGGAATGGGCCAAAATTCACCCAACTTATTGTGGGAAGCTTGTGGAAGGCTACCCGAAACGTTTGACCCAAGTTAAACAATTTAAAGGCAATGCTACCAAATACTAATTGAGTGTATGTAAACTTCTGACCCACTGGGAATGTGATGAAATAAATAAAAGCTGAAATAAATCATTCTCGCTACTATTATTCTGACATTTCACATTCTTAAAATAAAGTGGTGATCCTAACTGTACCTAAGACAGGGCATTTTTACTAGGATTAAATGTCAGGAATTGTGAAAAACTGAGTTTAAATGTATTTGGCTTAGGTGTAACTGTGTCAGGTTAGTAGGCCTCCTTGCCCGCACACGCTTTTTATGTTCTGCCCACAAATGTTCTATAGGATGAGGTCAGGGCTTTGTGATGGCCACTCCAATACCTTGACTTTGTTGTCCTTAAGCTATTTTGTCACAACTTTGGAAGTATGCTTGGGGTCATTGTCCATTTGGAAGACCCATTTGCGACCAAGCTTTAACTTCCTGACTGATGTCTTGAGATGTTGCTTCAATATATCCACATAATTTTCCTTCCTCATGATGCCATCTATTTTGTGAAGTGCACCAGTCCCTCCTGCAGCAAAGCACCCCCACAGCATGATGCTGCCACCCCCGTGCTTCACGGTTGGGATGGTGTTCTTCGGCTTGCAAGCAGCCCCCTTTTTCCTCCAAACATAACGATGGTCATTATGGCCAAACAGTTCTATTTTTGTTTTATCAGACCAGAGGACATTTCTCCAAAAAGTACGATCTTTGTCCCCATGTGCAGTTGCAAACCGTAGTCTGGCTTTTTTATGGCAGTTTTGGGGCAGTGGCTTCTTCCTTGCTGAGCGGCCTTTCAGCTTATATCGATATAGGACTTGTTTTACTGTGGATATAGATACTTTTGTACCTGTTTCCTCCAGCATCTTCACAAGGTCCTTTGCTGTTGTTCTGGTATTGATTTGCACTTTTCGCACCAAAGTTAATTAATCTCTAGTAGACAGAACGCGTCTCCTTCCTGAGCGTTATGACGGCTGCGTGGTCCCATGGTGTTTATACTTGCGTACTATTGTTTGTACAGATGAACGTGGTACCTTCAGGCGTTTGAAAATTGCTCCCAAGGATGAACCAGACTTGTGGAGGTCTACAATTCTTTTCTGAGTTCTTTTGATTTTCCCATGATGTCAAGCTAAGAGGCACTGAGTTTGAAGGTAGGCCTTGAAATACATCCACAGGTACACCTCCAATTGACTCAAATGATGTCAATTAGCCTATCAGAAGCTTCTAAAACCATGAGATCATTTTCTGGAATTTTCCAAGCTGTTTAAAGGCACAGTCAACTTAGTGTATGTAAACTTCTGACCCACTGGAATTGTGATACAGTGAATTATAAGTGAAATAATCTGTCTGTAAACAATTCTTGGAGAAATTACTTGTGTCATGCACAAAGTAGATGTCCTTACCGACTTGCCAAAACTATAGTTTGTTAACAAGAAATGTGTGGAGTGGTTGAAAAACGAGTTTTAATGACTCCAACCTAAGTGTATGTAAACTTCCAACTTCAACTGTAGCTACCATAAGTTGAATGGACTAATTTCAGCTACTCTTGATAAGAGCTGCTGCTAAATGTCTAAAACTAAAAGTTTAATGTAAAATGTAAAAGTACACTACAGTAAACTACACCACGCTACACATCCCCATTCAATGTACACTACAGACAGATCCATCTGAATCATGAACAACAGATAAACAAATTATAGGAACGGCCCAAATGGCACCCTATTCCCTATATAGTGCACTACATTTCAACAGGGCCCACAGGTTTCTGGGTAAAATTAGTGCATTATGTAGGGAATAGGGTGCCATTTGTGATGCCATGTCTCATGATTTGACACTGATTTCATCACCTCTTACAAGCATGCAAACCCACACTTATACAGACACACACACACACACATACACACACACACACACCACACACACACACACACACACGTCTGCAGGTAACAGAGTTCTACAGTAGCTTGTCTTTCGTCCCGGCTCTTTCCTGTTCTCACCGCAGCAGCCACTGTGCATCTTCTCACACACACACACACACACACACACACACACACACACACACACACACACCACACACAACACACACACACACACACCACACACACACACACACACACACACACACACCACACACACAACACACACACACACACACACACAAACACACACCCACACCACACAGACACACCACACCTCAACACACACACAACACACAACACACACACACACACCAACCACACACACACACACAACACACCACACCCAAACACATACACACACCATACACACACACATACCCACACACACCACACACACACATACACACACACACACACACACCACACACACACACACATACCACCACACACACACACACACACACATACACACCCATACACACACACAGACACACCCATACACACAACACATACACACCATACACACACACACACACATACACACACACACACACACACACTATACACACACACATACACACACACACACACACATACACACCATACACACACACACACCATACACACACACACACACACACACACACACACAGTAACCACAGGCGGAGAGGACTTGCATGTGTGCTGAAAGGAGAGGAGGATGAGGTTGGTGGGGTAGGGATGCAAGGGGGCGGTGTGAGGAGGGGAGGGAGGGGTGGAGGGAACTGTACTGACTGTGCGCGATGCTGAGTCAGCCATAATACCGCTTGGAACTTTCCAGAGACCTGACGATGATGTTGCTGTTAAGTGGAGCAGACACCTGCACACACACACACACACACACACACACACACACACACACAGACAGAGAGACACAGACACAGGCAGACAGACAGACAGACAGACAGACAGACAGACAGACAGACAGACAGACACACAGACAGACAGACAGACAGACAGACAGACAGACAGACAGACAGACAGACAGACAGACAGACAGACAGACAGACAGACAGACAGACAGACAGACAGACAGACAGACAGAGAAATAGAAATAGAAATAGCGCATTTCTCTGGCTGCGTTCACACAGGCAGCCCAATTCTGATAATCTTTCCACTAATTGGTCTTTTTGTCCAATCACATCAGATATTTTCCCGTCAGATATGTTTCAGAGCTGATCTTATCATAAGACAAAATGAATGACAAAAAGATGAGCGTGGTGCTGCCTGTGAACCCAGCCTCTGTTCATATGTCTTCTGTGTGTTTCTGTGGTTGTTTGTTTGTTGATGTACATACACAGTTTTTCCACACCAGCGGAGTGGTTAGAAACAGGAAGTTATGTCACTGTGTTCTCGGCAGCGGGGAACTTTTTCTCACCTTACTAAAGTTCCATCTTCCACACACACACACACACACAAGCACATCCACATTCATACACACTCACACACACATACACACACACACATCCACACACATACACACACACATACATACACACTCACACACACACACATACACACACATACACATACACACACACACACACACACACACATCCACACACATACACACACACACACACACACACACACACATACTAGAGCTTGTGTTTATTTGCGTCCACGTTTATTGCCTAGTTCAGCATAAATACAGTTAATTAAACATAAATAATACATAAATAATACATAGTAAACATATAATTTATAAATAAATACATTCATCAATTGGTCAATAGCGACCCGTGCAAATTATATCATGTCCTTCACAATGGATATGTAATGATGTCACTTAGTTCCTCCAGACATGAGGTGTGGACACCCACAGTGGATTGGAAGCCCATAACTGCATCCCAAATGGCACCCTATTCCCTATATAATGCACTACTACCCTATAGGCTCTAGTCAAAAGTAGTGCACTATATAGGGAATAGTGTGCCATTTGGGGGACACACCCAGCTGAGCTCTGTGACAGAGCTCATTCATTCTCTCACTCAGTGAGTACACTACCGTGGAGGCTGCCTGGCTGGTCAACAGACCACAGCAAATCATACATAGAAAACACAATGTTAAGAAAATACAAACTTCAAGTTAGACTCGTTGCCACGAGCAGCACCGCAGATTTTGAGACGAGCGAGATGCGCGCCTCCTCTCTCTCACACAGCAGTCACACACAGTATCTGTGTACGGGTTGGCTTCACACTGTTACAACGTGGTAGCCACGGGACCAAAACAGCGGAGAAGTTGAGTTTTTTGCGGAAATTGAACCACTATGCTGTTTACTTTCTGCACCTATGACATATCGCTGAGTCTGCCTTTAAGAAAATAAGTACATTTTAAACAACAAGATGGTTGTTGCAATTGTTGTTGTTGTTGCTGTTGTCCATGAACAGAACACAACCCTTCCTGAAGACTCTGAGGAGGTTACTGTGGTTGCCAAGCAACGGTAATAAGGCATAACAAATCAATGATATCATGTATCCATGATTATACACAGTATATGTGTATGGTACAAGTCTGCCGCCCCCCTCCCCCCACTTCACAATTCTTCCCTCAACCATAACAGACAGCGATTACAAAAACAACATTTTATCAAATAATATTAGAGTGAATTTAGAATCCACACCAGCACCAATGTAGTGGTATCTACACATAAGAATAGACAGCACATTGTAACCCTGAGTACAAATATAGAAATACATACATGTATACATTAAATATATATACATTAAATAAATATCCATATATATTGACCTGCATTGTTTAGTTTAAATCATTTCCATGGCGATGCCCTGAGTGACAGAGGTCAAAGTCCACTCTTTCTGTTTGCAAGTTCTCCTACATAGGGTGCATCTCAGTACCCTTAGCTGGCTTCCTTTTTTGTCGCCTCCTTCCCTTCGTCTGTGGCGGAGCCCAAACTTCCGTCCCAGGGGTGCGTTCAGCAGGACGCAACGTTTCGGACCGTTCAGATAGTAATATGCAATGTAGAACAATATGCCTCTCTGACATCTTAAAGAAGGAATAACGTTGGCTCTGTTCATGGCATTTCTATCTGCAACCTTTCACAAAGTTTAGCTACTGAACGTGGCCCATATCAACCCACTAAGAAAACTCCCATTCCGGATTCGTTCAGATCCAGTTTCCAGTACTTCAGTGTGTCCTGTGCTTCCGGCACCACCATACGGCCCATCAACCGGCTCTCTGAGTCCAGCCATCTCACCATCCAGCACTTCCTTTTTACCGTTGTCACAGGGTTCGACTCTGACCACTCTGGGAGCTCCACCTGGCAGGTCAGCTTTTCATCGCCGTGACTTGCAACCTGGACGACGAGGATGCCCCGCCCACATTTGGCGGTACAGGTGAGCTGGAGGTCCAGGTACAGGAAGTAGAAGCCGTCCTGCGCGGTTTTCAATGTATGATGGGTAAGGTCGTAGGTGTACAGATCTCCGAGAGAGGAGCCCTGTCCATAGTCGACCTGGGACCAGGATATTGTGCTGTTCATCAGCACGCCTGAAGGGGGAGACAGGAACACACACTGGTCAGGACACCTGTCAACGACTACACTTACATTCCCTTTGGGTCATTTAGCAGTTGCTCTTATCCAGAGCGACACCATATCCCCCAAAGCATCTTAGAGTTGTAGAGGCTGATCTAGGATCCGTTTTGCCTTTTAGACAATAAAGAATAATATTACACGGACAGGTTGGACCTGATCCCAGATCAGCACTCCTACAACGGACAACTCATAAAAATAGAAGATAGTCTAACATCATTCAACGTAACTACTTTATCTACATGACGGTTGGTTTTAAAAATGACAGTTGAACTTACTGGAGGTGGGCTGCAGGTAGGCGAAGTTCTGCATCTGAGGATGGGGGGAAGAGTAGGGATGACAGTTAGAGAGGTACCACACCCTATGTGCACCCTACGTCTGCATGTAGTGCACTACTCTGGTAACCTGTTCCATATGTATGTAGTGCACTACTCTGGTAACCTGTTCCATATGTATGTAGTGCACTACTCTGGTAACCTGTTCCATATGTATGTAGTGCACTACTCTGGTAACCTTTTCCATATGTATATAGTGCACTACTCTGGTAACCTATTCCATATGTATGTAGTGCACTACTCTGGTAACCTATTCCATATGTATGTAGTGCGCTTCTTTGATCCCCTATTCCCTACATAGTGCACTATGTTTTGACCAGGGCCCGTAGGCATTGGAGCTTACACACTTGTATTGTTGTGTGGACTTATTATCCATTGTTTTGGTGAACGAATGAGAGAAGAGGCTGGAGACATGTAACCACTGAAATGAATGGACAGAGCTTGAAGGCAAGGACTGACCGTCCATGAAATCTAAACGATACTTTGTAAAACAAGCTTATATTTTGAGTTCTGATGGGGAACTCGAAGTTGAAAAAAGCTCATTTAAGTTACATTCTTCAAGAGTCAATGGGTATGCCTATATATAATTGGTTTAAAAGTCCAAAATGGATGTACCAATCGCAGATTGCCTCTTTAAACTGTATTATTTTTCAGTCAGACACTCAACTTGAGAATGAGTTATCAATAGCTTCCACTTAAAACGTATGGCATTATAACAAACTGTCCCCGGTGGTACACACCTCTAAAGGGGAAGCTAATTTATATAAATAGCCTAATGCAGACCTACTTTTAGAATCAAAATAAACAGTCTTCATCCACAAATACATCCCTGTATTTTTTGTTCAGTCAGACAATAAACTTCATAATGCGTTGTTAATAGCCTAGGTTATCAATATGTTCTCCTCCGTCTAGGCTACTTTCCTCACCTTGTACACGGGCATGGAACTGGGCTCGACGTGGCTCGTCTCGGTTGAACGGTGCGTGTCCACAACAGAAGGTTTAACCGCGATCTCCGACCGTAGTTCTACAAGAGCCAAAGTTCCCATGACAACAACTGTCGCCACCGTCAGTAAGAGCAAAACGACAGAACTGACCAAGAAAACGTCCAGGCACCGTCCACGGGGACGCGCGCTCCTCTGAGATTCCACATCCATCTCACGTTCCCGGTGATCACACAGAGTTCCAGAAGAAAACTGAAGTGTGTGTGTGGCGATCCCAGAAGCTCTCCAGAATTATCCCTTTTACGAGTCGGTCAGAAGAACCGGGTCAGAAGAACTGTGCTAAAGTCCACTGCAAGATAACAGGAGGTCCAAAAAAATGTAAAATCCTTGGTCAGGCGTTGGCTAACAACGTTATGACTTCGGTTTACCGGTCAATTCTTTAATATCCAAATCGAACCAGATTGGGCTGCATACAGGCTATTAAGTTCCTGGTCGGAGTATGAATTGCAGAAGCATAACCCAGGCTGTCTTTTTATACTGCTCTGAGAGGCTGGGTGGCTTGACATGCGAGACAGAGGAAAATACGCGGAAGTCATGGGTTCGGGTTTCCCTCTCCCCCTCTCCCCCTCTCCGCTCCTCCTTCCCCTCCTCTCCATTGCTATGACACGTTGTGAAGTGAAGCGCGAACTGAGAGTATGAGCTGCCTGAGACTTTCCGCTGATGCTCTCGCTTTGCGCAAGCGGGGAAGTGTGGTGGGAAACAAGATAGAGAGAGAGATGGAGAGAGGGGAGAAAGAAATGAGAGAGGGAGAGAGAGAGCGGAGAGAGAGAGAGAGGAGGAGAGAGAGAGAGAGAGAGAGAGAGAGAGAGAGAGAGACAGAGAGACAGAGAGACAGAGACAGAGAGAGAGATAGCGCACTAACACTAACCCAGCCTAATAGAGTACTTTTCCCCAGTATGTTGCTATTCCGTTGTTACAAACCGTTATCTGTTGGTTCTATGGCAACCATCCAACAACCTGTCGATTTAACAGTTTCCCTTGCTCTTTGTCTAGGCCAGGTATCTGTAAAGCACTTCGTGACAATTGCTGATGTAAAAAGGGCTTTACAAAATAAGTTTGATTGATTGGTTGATACAATAAATATTATTGGTCTTTGGCAAGGAAATACTGAACTAATTGTTTATGGATTATTAGTGTTATAAACTCTTTATAAACTTTGATTCATATGTAAACGGTTATTGTTATTATTATGGTTTAGAGAGCATTTTGCTGGGTGTATGTATTGGCATATTATTTATTCAGGACCCACCCATTATGATTGAACACACACACACACACACACACACACACACACACACACACCACACACACACACACACACACACACACACACACACACACACACACACACAACACACACACACACACACACAGCACACACACACCACACACACCACACACCCACACACAGACACACACCACCCACAACACATTACACACACAACACACACACACAGGCACCAACCCATACACACACACACACACACACACACCCACAGCAACACACCACACACACCCTCACACACAAAAACACAACCACAGACAGACCACACAGACACACACAGACAGACACACAGACCACGAGTCATGAGTTGTCTTAGCCCTGTCCCTGGACCAGTGGAGACTCTGTTTGTAGGATACTATGCCTGCGTCCCAAATGGCGCCCTATTCACCTCATAGTGGCGGAGGGGCCCTCATCAAAATAGGCACTATTGGGAACGGGGGGCCATTTGGGCCAATCCCATTACCCCCTTTTTTAAAAACCCCCAAATTTATACTTTCAATTCATGTTCTGTGTGGAAGAAAGGGAGAAAGGGAGAAAGGGATGAAGGGAGAAGGGAGGAGGGGAAGAAGGGAGAGAGGGGTATTTTTGGGAGGGTTTCAAAAAAAGGAATTTTCCCCCTTTTCGATAGAAAAAGAGAGCGGGGGTGGGAGAAGAAAGTGGGAAAAGAGAGAGAAAGAGGGGGGTTTAGGAGAGAATTTTTAGGGGAAGAGAGAGAAAGGGGGGGGGGGGGGAAAAAGAAGGAAAAGCGAAAAAAGGGGGGAGGAAAGGGGGAAGGGGGAGAGAGGGGCCCCGAGGGGAAAAACGGGGGGGCTTTGGCCCCCTTTTTTTCTCCCCTTTTTTTTTCTTCGGGGCCTCTTCCCTCAGAAAGTGAACATTCCCTGTTTGTTTCCCGGGAGACAATGTATTTTTATCAGCTCTCATTTACTGACTACCTCATCCATCGGACACAAAAAGTAGAGAGAGTACCGCGGAGATATATATATAGCGAGACTAGAGATATCGCGCGATCTCTCGCTCTAGATCTCTCGCTCTCTCTCTCTCTCCCCCCTCACTTCACGTACAGTCCATTGCGTTAGGTCTTGTCTGATGTGAAGATACCCAGGCCATTAACTTTCAATCCCAGATGGGAACCCTTTTATTACTTCACCAGCACCATAGGTCTTCTTTCTCCCCTTTCCCAGATATTGAACAATACTTTCCATTAGTCTGTGTGTCCTTATTGGGTTGAAAGGTCCTGTCATCCATCCACCGCTCTACTGTCCTGTCATCCATCCACCGCTCTACTGTCCGGTCATCCACCCCCTAATCACTGTCTCCTGTCTCCAATACGTCTAACGTCCTGTCCTGTGTCATCAACTACTCTACTGACCTGTCTCCATCCCACCACTACTGACCTGTCCTGTCATCCACCACTCTACTGTCCTGTCCTGTCAGCCAGCCACCACCTAACTGTCCTGTCTCCACCACATCTACTGACCGTCCCTGTCATCCCCACTCTAATCCACCACTCTACTGACCTGTCCTGTCATCCACCACTCCTATGGACCCTGTCCTGTCCTCCACCCACTCTACTGACCTGTACCTGCCTGTCAATCCACCACTCTACTGACCTGTCTGGACCTGTCACCACCACTCTACTGACTGTCTGTTCATCACCAATCTCCTGGACCTGTACTGTAATCCCCCACTCTACGACCTGTCCTGTTCATCCACCACTCTATGACCTGTCCTGTCATCCACCACTATACTGTCCTGTCATCAACCAACTCTACTGTCCTCTGTCCGTCATCTCCACTTACTGTCCTGTCCGTCATCCACCCACTCTACTGTCCGTCCTGTCATCACTACTCTACTGTCCCTCACCTGTCATCCACCTCTCTATGTCTACCTGGCATCCACCACATCTACTGTCCTGTCCTGTCATCACCACTTACTGTCCTCTACCGGTCCTCCACCACTCTTACCTGTCCTGTCTGTCAGCCACCACTATAATGTCCGTCCGTCATCCACACTCATACTGTCCGTGTCCTGTCATCCCCACTCTACTGACCTGTCCTGCCATCCACCAATCTAACTGTTCCTGTCATTGTTCATCCACCACTTCTACGTCCTGTCTGTTCATCCACCAATCTACTGCCTGTCCTGTCAGCCACCACTCTAATGACCTGTCCCTCGGCCATCCACCACTCTACTGTCCTGTCCTGTCATCCACCACTCTACTGTCCTGTCCTGTCATCCACCACTCTACTGTCTGTCCTGTCATCCACCACTCTACTGTCCTGTCCTGTCATCCACCACTCTACTGTCCTGTCCTGTCATCCACCACTCTACTGACCTGTCCTGTCATCCACCACTCTACTGTCCTGTCAGCCAGGCATCGCCCATGTAACCTTATTGCGTTGAAAGGTCTTGTCTGGACCCATGTAGCCTCTGCGGATTCGCTAACAATCGGATGTTAGGGTTTTCAGGGGAAATGGAAGAGAGAGCCCGTGACGTGACTTCCGCTTTCGGACGTTAACAAGGCGACACTCCATCTTAACTCTTCCTCCACATTTAACGGATTTATTGAACATCACAGAATAGAACCACCCCGACTGTTTTTTAATTTTCCGTCAAGACCAGTATGTAGAGGATCTAGTTTCAGGCGTTTCTTTTACGCCTGCTATGTTATATTAGGACACATGTAACCTTATTGGTTTGAAAGGTCTCGTCCGGACCCATGGCTCACCTCAACAGCCATTGTGCAGATCATGGGCATGTGCCCAGGGCACGCCAACTTGGATAGCACATGTATCACCGCCTGGTACGGAAAAGGCACCGCCCACAACCGCAGGGCTCTCCAGAGGGTGGTGCGGTCAGCCCAATGCATCACCGGAGGCACACTGCCTGCCCTCCAGGACACCTACAGCACCCAATGTCACAGGAAGGCCAAGAAGATCATAAAGACCCTCAGCCACCCGAGCCACGGCCTGTTCACCTCGCTAGAAGGTGAGGTCAGTACAGGTGAATCAAAGCTTGGACCAAGAGACTGAAAAACAGCTTCTATCTCCAGGCCATCAGACTGTTAAACAGTCACCACTAGCTGGCTATCACTCAGTACCCTGCCCTGAACTTTAGTCATTGTTACTAGCCAGCTACCACCTGGTACTCAACCCTGCACCTTAGAGACTGCTGCCCTATGTACATAGACATGGAACACTGGTCACTTTAATAATGTTTACATACTGTTTTACCCACTTCATATGTAAATAATGTATTCGAGTCAAGGCTCATCCTATATAACTACTGCTGTACACACCTTTTCTATTCATAAACTGTCTATACTGTCTTTACAATGTTTATATTCCGGTCTCTGACACTGCTCATTCTGATATTTCTTAATTTCTTTATTTTTCTGGATTATGGGTGTATAGTTATTATTATTGCTAGGTATTACTGCACTGTTGGAGCTAGAAACACAAGCATTACTGCACTGTTGGAGCTAGAAACACAAGCATTACTGTACTGTTGGAGCTAGAAACACAAACATTTGTCACGCTCTGGCTCCGGGACTCTGTATATTGAGCCAGGGTGTGTTCATTAGTTGGGTGTATTTCTATGTTTGTATTTCTGTTGGGTTCATTTCTATGTTTGGTCAATGACTCCCAATCGGAGGTAACGAGTGTCAGCTGTCGGCTCGTTATCTCTGATTGGGAGCCATATTTAATCTGTATGTTTTCCTGTGGGTGTTGTGGGTTTTTGTTCATTTCGGTTCGTGTGTAACCGTAGACGTCACGTTGTCGTTTTGATCATTTCTATTAATAAAAGATGTTCACATTCAACGCTGCGCCTTGGTCCTCCTCCTCTATGTATGACGATCGTGACGGAA